TTGGTGAAATACTTCAGTTCGTGTGTCAAATTCTTAGGTATTTTTGTTTTATTTATGAAATTGAAGCCGAATGTGGTAAGAATTAAGGGAAAAATAAACTTAATGAAAAAGCATTTCAACAAAACCTGTCATGATTGCATTTTTGCCAGAAGAAAATAAATGTATAAAAGTAGCCTACTATTTTATTAGGGCTAATATTTTATAAAAAGAAGCATTGTTTCCATGTCATGGATTGCCCTAATTGTATTAGGATCACAATCTAACCGAGAAACTGGAAATATTTGTTACAGCTGTTTAGGTAGAAAAATCTCCAAGACACAACTATGATGATTAAATAAAAAAATAATATGGTATAAGCCAAGCGCCGCCTTTACGCTGTGTTTATTGTGCGAAGCTAATTTTCACTATTTATATGATAACACTTGTTCATGACAATGAACATTATTGGACACAACGATCGTTTCAAAATTTTGTTGTTATTGTTATTATCTGTCTCCGTCAACACGTTTTGAAGAAATCGCTTTTCTCTCTTCGAATACTGGACCAATTGCTTTGAAATTTTCAGTGGTTGAAGATAAAAATTTTCTCCAGAAGGCTATTAGGCTACTTTTTTTCCCGCTATGACGTCATCAAAATTATGTGACTCTACGTGTCCATATATTTGAGCATAGCTCTCTTGTTGAGATACTGGTTTGTTCCGGATCATCATATGACTTACTGAAGCAACACAGCAACAGAACCGGACTCACCTAAACATATATGCATGGTCTCGGCGTTTACCTTTGCAGCATCTCGTATATATTCTTACGATTACATGGAATTTTGTTTAAATTCGTTTAAGTCAGGGGTCGGCAAACTTTTGTTGCTCGCGGGCCAAAATTAAAGGTTGCAAGTCATTGGCGGGCCGCACATATTTTTAAAAAGGTAAAAACTGAAGGAATGGTCGATGAATCACATTTTTTCACACAGATTTCAGTTAAATTTCAAGCAGTGCGCAAAGAGTGATCATTTGAATATTTTCTGCGTCGTGAAACCATTTGCACTCAGCATCAACTTTTTCACGTTCTGTTGCCATTTGTTTAATTATAATCAATTATAGGCTCATTAAACGAGTTATTGTGAGTTATATACTTGTTAGCAATGGCGGCGCGTGGTCATTTTGACAACCGGGGCAAGCTACTGCGGGACCAAGTCACCCCCATCTACGGGGACAGGATGAGCGCTGTAAGATCTCCCATCATTTTATGAGTATAAAAACCATTCCATCGGTAACAACCAATCGGCAAAAGCGACAATTTTTAACGATAAGAAAGTGTCTTTAAAACCGGTCCAAGTCAAGGGATTAATAAATATAGTCATAGTTTATTTTGAAACCTCTTTCAAAAAGAAAGGCAATATTTACCCAGATAAATACAATGACATATTAACAGAAACTTCGGGAAAGCAGAAAAAACCTAAAATAATGTTTAAAATGTTACTCTATGAAGAAAGGAAAGGTAATGCAAAGATAGGGACATGCGTCGCTCACTCATAGATATATATGCTGCTAGACTTCTACTGCTTGAACATATATGCAACACGCCGCGGTTTCTTGGAAGCAAAATGCTCAATAACGCGCTGAATAAAGTCATGCATCCCAGAAATAACGTCTCTGTGAATGGATAAAACAGCCAAGGAATTTAATCTATCTTGCTTCATTGTGTTTCTGAGATACGTTTTAATACGCTTCAGCGTGCTGAATGTTCGCTCTGCGTCGGCGGAAGAAATAGACGTCGTCAAAATGATGTCCAGAAATTTTGCAGACGCCGCAAAGGTAGTTACTAGAGTGTTATCTATGAGGAACCCATAGAGCGCGCAAGTTGATGTGATGTTCAAAAAAGTTTGATTGGTGTATATACATCGCAATTCATTTTCCAATTTACCCAGGTTTATCATGGGTAAAATTTGGAGACAGTAGCCAACAAATGGATGGGAAATTGACGTGCAAATTATGAAAAATTTTTGGGGTTCATCAAAGAGAACGCGGAAAGGTGTTCAGTGCGCAGACGATCGCCTATTTGATTCACCAGAATGTCACAGCATTCCTTTGCAGACAAAATCAAACGCTGCGTTGTTTGCCCGCGGCGTAAAGAAGCACTCCATGTGTCGTCGTATTTTATTGTTTCCCGGATACGAGATACAGCATCGCAGAAGTCTGAAATACACGACTGCACAGACGCTCCATCCATTAGCCTTGACTGTAATGCGCCGTATAATACATCCACGTGATAGAATATTGTGGAGAAAAAAGCGAGAAAAAATGAAAACTCACCATCTTCTAGCAGACGCTTTAGACCTGCCGCCTCCCTCACAGAGCGTTCGTCCCAAACCGGAGAGCTCTGAATGCCATTGAAAAACTCAATGAGCTCAGACCTAATTTCGGACACGCCCTGCACCACGCGTGATTGGAAGTTCCAACGTGTTGGTGCACAAGCTGGGAGACGGCGGCTACATATCTGGCGAAGGAGGTCAGAGCGCTTCGGCGAAACGGAAAAAAATGAAGAAAACCCCGAAACATTTGCAAAAAATATACGGACGAGAGGGGTATCAAGACACATATTTTTAATAACGAGGTTAAATTGATGTGCATAACAATGTAAAAAATGCGCATGAGGAAAATCTTCTTTTATATAAACTTGAACACCATGTTTCGACCCACTCATGACTGCCGCGCCGTCATAAGTTTGAGCTATCAATTTTGACTTCACGTTGTAAGGCTGTAACACTTCTTTCAGTACAGCCGATATCCCACAAGCCGTGCGATCAACGATTGGTACAAAGCTGTGAAATCTCTCGGTAGGTTTACCATCTTTCACAAACCGAAAAATCACAGCCAGTTGGGAAACGCACGTGATGTCAGTTGTCTCGTCAGACTGAATCGAAAGGAACTGGCAATTCTCAATTTCCAGAGCCAAATGTTGTAAATAAATTTTATACAATGAGTCGAGCAAATCATTTTGGATATCCTTAGATGTCCCTTTCGAAACAGTTGCGGCATCAAGATGATCTCTCAATACTGTATCTAGGGATGCGGTGTATTCCACCATATCCAAAAATACCCCTCTATAAGAAGAGCCAGCCCGTTCATCGTGCCCACGGAGGGACAACTCGTGACAACCAATGAACTTCAAAACATCTATCAATCGACCGAGAACATGGCGGTTTTTCTCGACGTTTTGGTTGTGCCGACGAATAGAAACCGCGCGTCCTTCATCCAACTGTGCTGCAATATTAACATTTCCGAATGTTCGGTATTTTACTGCATTGTCCAGATGCTCCATAGAAGATTGATGATCCCTGGCACGCTCGGAAAGATGTTTAAGGTCTCTAAAACCAAATTTACACCAACGTGAGTCACGGGCGGTAGCAAAAAGTAGGCAATAAAAATAAAAAAGTGCATTTTTGTCCTCGCTGTAACACAACCATTCGTGTTTTTTATACCAAGTTTCTGCGCAGAATGTACGCCGACGCTTTCCTCCGTCATGGGATTGTTCCAGTGAACAATTATTTGGTTGATAAGGCCCAAGACGTTGTACCTCTAATTTTTGTTCCAGCGGCAGCTGCGAAAACGGAGTGCGAAGTAGTGCATCAACCTTATTCATTATGAGGTCTAAGGCTAAGAAATGCGAAGCCGGAAAGAAGTGAGGAGCTCAAGAGGAATGTGGAAAATCGAAAGCAAATGGACTAAAGGTCTCTAACTGATTCAAATAGCGAAACAAGCGACAAAAACGAAGGCGAGGAAACTATCAACTCTTCAAGCAACCAACGAACGAGAAGGAATGCGTGAATATGTCAACACGTTGTTGTAAGAAACGTCGGCATTGTGTCGTCATAATTTCGGGGCTAGCCCCGATCGGCCCCGATGAAGAATATAGTCGTCAATGCAGTTGTTTTGTTAATCTAATTCAGTGAAGCGTCGCGGGCCGGAGTTTGCCGACCCCTGGTTTAAGTCAAGTTCCGTGTTCACACCGGTCATTTAGTCAGTGTCAGCTCATTTTAATAATTCAATATGTTAACAACATTCAATCAATTGTGAGAGTTGAGTGGCAAAGTTATTTAAACAAAAGCTACTCTAAATATATTTACATCGCAATAAATCAATTTCCTATGTGAAATATCTGTGTCACAGGTATCCAGCTCCAAGCAAATACCATGAGGTTGGAAGCACCATTGTTAGAACATATCCAGTGCTACGTGGCCGATTTGCCAGTAGAGGCTGCTTCTATTTCATTAGAAAGTGTAAGGCAAGTTCCGTAGTATTATGAATAGGAATTTCAATCTTCTTTTTCTTTTTGCAAAGGCATCATGAACTTCTAGCGTAAGTCAAAAATTTAAAGACTACAGACGAACAGTTACAGGTGATATTTTCCATGATGACATGAGAGCCAAGTACGGTCCCAATAGGCAAAAGGTTATCAGACGCAGAGACAGACCTCAATATTTCGAGCAGATGCAGCTTTTCTCGGAGCCGAGCAAAACTTTTTTTATGATTTAAAAAAAAATCGATATTAATAGTGAAAACTAGTTACCTAATAATTGTATAATGAAGTGCGTCACACAACTTAAGACTACAGTACTGTGTTACTGGATAGTGTACTGCTACTTGGTGGTCAAGAACTAGTCCCATTCAATATCATTAGTCAGCAGTTGAGATGGGGTTTGAATGTTATTAAACCTAATAAACCAACACAGCATGCTATGAGTGGTTATTGAACTAAAATCCATAACTTTTCAGGTTACTGTATAGGTGTTCTTAAAGCTATGGAGCTATTATGACGACAGCATTGAAAATTACGAGAAAGTAATATAGGAGGAATTAAAAAAAAGACACGAGATTTAATTGAAAATGATTTTGATTTTCACTTTGTTCAATTCACTATCATAAATTTACTATCAACCATGGCACATTATCTTGACCTTTGGACTTTCTATCGTAAAAAAAAATTCTGCTCCTTAGCCTTCGAGGGGAAACCCCTCCAGACGCGTCTAGCGTCGTATTTAAAATATTCTTGGCAAGACTTCTCAACCGATGCGCCTGTGAAAAAGAATTTAATGAGAATACATGTGATTGATGATGCTGTCGGTAATGTATATACTTATTTTCCTATCTGTACATACATGTGTCCCTTATTTATTATCTTATTTATTATTTAATTATTGAAAATTCCACTTTGTTGGAACCATAAAAAAATGAATTTAAGGTTTAAGATGTACCGTAAATAGCTCAGTAACACTACCGGAACTAGCATACTGCAGTACTGTATCCTTCTTAATACAGGGAGTCCTCGACTTACGACGTAGTTCCGTTCCTGAGACTCGGTGTAATCCGAATTTCAGTGTAAGTCTGAACATTATACTGTACAGTGGTACAGTGCATGAATTACTCTATACACATCTTACTGTATTATAAAGTATGGCACTGTACACTAATAAAATGTTCAAATAATGCAAATAAGAACTTTATTGGAAAAACAGAAAACAATTCCACATCACGTGAATAAAAGCAAACACTGTACAGTATCTTAACATCTTTTTTTTGCTTTGAGTCCATAACAAAGGTCAGAAGTAAAAAAAAACTGTACTGTACCATGTGACTGAAGCTTAGTGATTATTCGTTCATAATCGTAATAGTTCGCAATTGGTCACGTCATTTACGATGTAAATAACAAAAACCAATGAGCCCAGAGCACTGATTTTCTTGATCACAATGATCCAGTTTATAGGTTTAGATATTACAGTACAGTATTATCTTTTATATCTGTATATGTTCGTAAAGTGCGTTCGTAACCTCGAAACAGCGTTATGGAGTGCGCGTTTGTAACCTCCAAACATCGTGAGTCGCGACCGTTGTAACCCGAGGACTCCCTGTAATAATGATATTGTACTGCTCACTGACTGACTGATAAATAAGACAACAAATGACAAAGCTGCAGAACCGTACCAGTTTCATTTTTGCCAGTTGATTGATCATAGTGCTGTAGAACTGTCATCAAAATTTGAATGTTAAGTACGGTAGGTCTGTAAGTCGACTGCCAGAGCTAAAACTTAAAAGTTTTCATTTCACCAGATTACTTGTCACCCCTAGTCTTACGTTACCGGTACCACCGTAATGTATTCTTGAACCTAACTAATGTTAACATAATATCTTACACCACTATCAGACACCACTATACAGCTATATGCTAAATATATATATATAAAATATGATTTTTCAGAAATAACTTAAACCTAAAATGGGATCCTTAAAACTTCTCTCTGCCTATGATACAAGCTCGGATAGTGATGGTGAAAATGAAGAACTGTCAGATGATATGAAATTTCAACATCAGACTGACAAGGTTACTGAAAACAAGCGTGAATTATTGCCACTCCCGCCTAGTGTTAGCAGGATGTTTTCAGAGAAACATAGTCATGTTGACTCACCAGAATTACACCAAGGCCGTAAACGAACATTTCCACATCAGCGTGGAAATTGGGCAACCTTCGTTTTTGCCAAGATCCCTATTACACTCGAAGATAAACTGAGAACACATGTTTTACAATCATTGAATTTCTTAAAAACGGACTGGACAATATGCGATGATTTCCATATTAGTTTGTCAAGAACAGTTTCATTACCTCATCACTGTATTGATCCATTTTTTTCAGAATTGAAAATTGGATTGAAGGATTTTAAATCAATCTCTCTAAGAATATTAGCTTCAATACAAGTTTATACGAATGATGAAAACACAAGAACTTTTTTAAGTTTTCCCATTCATTCTGACTACAATGAAATTCTGATTGCATTATCGAAAAGAATTGACACTGTTTTTACTAGATTTCGTCTTCAAGAGTATTATAAAAATCCGTCATTTCATATAAGTTTTGCATGGATTTGCAATGAAAATGTGAAGTCATTAGAATTAATTAACAATGATGTGGGACAGTTAAATCACTATTTTTCAAATTTAGAATACGATGACTTTTTTCAAATAACTGAAATTATTTGCAAAGCTGGTAATAAGCACCTAACAGTTGATTTGTAATACATACACAAATTATACTTTGATTTCATACGCATTCTCATTTTTGTGTAACTTTGTAAGCTTGCATAGTAAAAGTTTAAGATTTTCATCATTTTTAAAATACCACTTTGTTTTCCTATAGAATATCCGATGTTCATCTTAAGTAAAACATTCAATTCTGTATTATTGGTAGGGGAGGGAAATTTCTCATTTAGCTCTGCTTTATTGAAACAAAATGTATGTCTTCATCCAAAAAATTTCTATGCAACATGTTACGAGTCTCTTCAGCAATGTATCGTGAAATATGGTGAAACTGAAACATCGAAAAACATTCAATTTATTCAAGATATGGGAGCAACCGTTTTAGATTGCATTGATGCAACAAAGTTAGCAGACCTTGGTCTGAGAAAGTTTGAACTGATCATTTTTCAATTTCCACACACAGGAAGAAAAGCTAGCATAAAAAATAACAGGTATTCTCTATTTATTTCGAATATTCATGTCATGCTTGTTATGTCAAACAGCAAGCATCAACTATTTATCAGAAGTATTCATTGCAGCTAAAAATAAATGAAACGTATTCTGAAAAACTGTGAAATTATGTTTTAAGCAGTTATGTAAGCAAACCAATTCAACATGTTCTGTGATATGAATCCACATTTACAGGGTTTCAAGACAAAAAGTAGAATGTTTGAATTTTTTTTTGAATATAACAAAAAATTGTTGCTTCTTAATCTGGTATATAATCATTGTTTGAAGCAAAAGTATTGCAATAAAACGTTACACTGCCACAGAATAGTAAAATTGAAAATATACGCTTTTGTCCTCTTGTTTCAGTTTTACTGTATTTCAGGTTAATTCCCTCGAATTATTATCTGCAGGGCAAACCTTATTGCATTTTTAATGTTAATTATTGACATAATCTCACATTCAGGGATCTCTTGAGAAACTTTTTCATCAGTGCTCAATCACTTTTAAATGGCATGAATGGATTTGTTGTTGTGACACTCTGCGCTGGGCAAGGTGGTACACCAGCTGATTCTGTGAAGCGAGAATATTGCAACACATGGAAAGTATAAAAATTTGTTCTGATTGCACTACAATCACCAATCTCTATGAATATACAATGATGTGTGTAAATTTCCTAATTGAACATGACACTTGATCCAGAATATATTTCAAACTCAGTATTATTCCAGGATACATCCAGAATTTTAAACTGTTCAGTTTAGTCCATCTTGAGTATTGTATACACCACATATATTTCTTTAATATATGCTTACTTCATGCATAATTGTTGCTATTTATTCAGATATTAGTTATATTTTTCATCTCTATTTACAGTAATTTTTGAAGTTACTTGGTCAGCATAAGTTTTGAGTTTTCAAACTTAACATAATACTTGGTCTATCACAGATCGTTGAGATGGCTGCATATGCAAATTTAATATTGACGGAAGTTCAACCATTCGGCAGTGATGCCTTTTCTGGATATTTGCCAACAGGAAAACGGAATGCTGGAAATAAATTCCATACTGCAAGAGCAATGTCTCATGTGTTTAGATTTGCAGAAGACCCACCCACTTTGTCGCCTGGTAATGATCTATCTAGATTTTTTGTAGTTCTTTTTAAATGTGAAAAACCTTTCGATCTCTTCAAGCAGCTTTTAGACAAAAATATACTCTATTTTTGCATCCATTAAAAGGTAGATCTTGTTCCAACCTCACCAACCGTCAGTCATGGGTTCTCATTTGCATTAATTGCTAATTTAATTGTTATGTACTTGGCTATGAGGAATTAAGACTTGTAATAACTAATTGTAGTTGAAATTAGTGTTATCCTGTGCAGTATTAAGGTCTCCACACTCACAGTATTGAAATCCATACTTTGTTCATGGTTTCAAACTCAGATCGACCATTAATCCCTACAAACTACAACTACTTTATTCACATTGATGCAATAAATTGATAAGCAACGTTATTCTTCAGGTTGGGTATCCATCAACAATGGAGACTCGAATGTCGATCTTTCCTCAAACTTGAAAGCTCGTTTGGTGATTATGAACCGCATACCAGATACTATACCTCCGTACCAATTCGCAATGCAAATAGTACAAAATTTACAACAGAAGCAAAATGTTTCAGAAATAGTTCTCCCAAGTCCAGATCACAAAGAACTCTGTGTCTCTTTACAAAATGAAAAATCTAATGTGATAGGCTTACAACTGCCTTCGCTTCTTGAAGAGATAACGCAACTTACGCAAGACAGTTTTGCTAGTGCGGTTTGCCATGCACTGTCATTTCCGCTGATGAAAATGTCTGATATAAATTCAATGTCAAGCATTCAATATGATATGTTGGTTGCAACCAACAACTGTGATGAACTACTTGCTAATTTACAAGCGATTTTCGAATCTTACTGCAATTATCAGATTGAACTGAATATAAAGCCCTCAGCCATCCCATTCAAGTGTTTGTCAGATACATCAAGTCTGGAAATTCTTGAACAAAACTCCCTTTGTGTCAATATTTCGTCTGGAAAACAAGCTATAATAGGTCAACACTGTTTACTGAAACTAGATCATTGCAACAGGAACAGTACCTGTTTGTCAATAATATTGCTTGAAATAGATAAAGTCATGTTATCACTGAATCCCAGTATCTCAAGTAATGCAATGTGGTCACTGGATGAGAAGACTAGGAAATTACTTTGGCATGCATTTAGTCAAAGGGATGTTTATGTTCCGCAGTCTCTCTTTCCACCAAAATGTGTTCATGACATAAGTTTTTGGATCAGAAGTGGAGGTAAGTGTATTTTTTGTGAGTTTTTCTGGCTAACATTCTGAGTTTCTATACAGATAAAATGTGTGTATGATCAACATTAAATGGAAGTTTTAACTGTAATTGAGTAATATGGGACAAATTGCAATAAAAATATCACAAAGTGTTGAAAAGATAGTATTGTTTTTCGTACTTTTTGACATTTTATTCCTACAGATTCAACAGTTTAGCATGTGTGGGTGATTCCTGTTGTAAAATTCTCTTTCTTTATTATTCTACTTTGATATTAGAATCATTTATTACCTATTTCTTAGATATCACATGTTTCCTTAAGTTGTTCATTTGACAACTATGATATATTCCCCACCAATGCCATAGTTTTGTTGACAACAGCAAATTCATGTCCCACAGATTAGATCTGGATGTAATTCATTCATTTGTGGGAGTCTATTCTATAATTTTTTCAAAAAAAAAACATTTATTTCACCACAAGCAAAAATTGAAATGTCCTGATGTACACTTGTTTATTCACAAAAATGAAATATTGGTCTTCATTCAGTGTGAAAGAATTTGGTATTAATGTGATCAATTCTTGTACTTGGTCACCTGGCCTTATCTCATAACCAAGAGTTGCTCAAGCTTGTTAAGTTTTCTGAAAATTTTATTGACTGTTCTGAACTGCATCTTTGAAGCCTAAAATATGGTATAGACCAGTGGTTCCCAACCGTTTCACCTCGGTGGACTGATAACATCAATTTAATAAATAAATGACCTCCTTGTCTAAATACGATAATACTCGTGTAACAATGTTCATTTTTATTCTAATTGATGTCGTCCAAAACATGTATGTGCATGGACTTAAATTTTAGACGCTTTCGAGAAGTAACAAAACGTTTTCGAGACGTAGAGATGGAGTCGAAAAAAAGTTATACTTATACTGATCAGAACTTTAAAAGTGTGATTACTTGTCAGCCACGAATCGCCTATTAAAGCAATGTAACTTTTCGGTAACCAAGGGATTACGGTGGCAGAACAACAAAAAAAAACAGAATTTCTCACGGACCTACAAATAAGCTGCGACGGTTCGCAGATCAGCGGTTGGGAGCCACTGTTATAGACAATGAACTTTACTTATTCTCAAAGTTAAAATTAATTTATTATACGACAGGTGAAGATGATCCGAAGCACCCATTAACCATGGACCGTTTAAAATCTATTATTGTCCAGACTGCCGATCAGTCTTTGTCATCAATAGAACTAATGGATGAATACAACGACGGAAATTGCTCCAGTATGTGCATCAGGGTGACCTACCAATCATATGATTTCTGTTTATCAAGACAAAATTGTTCAAAACTGAATGATAATGTGAGGAAAAATATAAGTCAAGTTTTTAATGTTGTTCTTAGATGATTGCGATGATAGTCAACTGGCTAACTCATTCTCGCACCCGAAATGGACTTGTAACCAGACGTGAGGTCGTTGTTCGTCATACGATAAAGCCGTATGAACCTTTCCTCTCCCACGAAATAAAAATGTAAATCTTATTCCAATCCTATCACACAAGCCTTTGAAAATAAATTGACAGTTCTGCCAAGTTAAATAATATTAATATATTGTAAATATGTATTAAGAAAAAAATAGAAAAATATTGCAATACTGATACTCTTTAAAATTAAAATATTCTATGCCTCTCCTTGGAGGAGCTTTGATAACTTTCCAGACAGTTTCATTGACTTCGTTTCTGAACCACCTCCAATGCATTTTCCTTTGACGAAAACTCGTGGCACAGTGTTCGCTCCAGTTAGTGTTGACAAATACCGTTGTATCTCTAGGCCGTCGTCTCTTTTGTCCAATTCTATCACTTTCGGTTTGGTGCCAATGTCTGTAATATTAAAATTTCGAATACAACTTTGATTACTACCATAGCGGTACATTGGATTTTAAGTAATAATTAAATGTGCTGTGCATTTTCAGCATTCGCGAATTGTTTCTCAGTAACGGATGTCCGTTAGTTTTGACCATTCAGCGTAATCTAATTATAAACTTGTACTTTACTTGAAATCGGATTTTGCACGAAAATGCTCTGAACCGAACAATTGCCGTGTTTAACAGCTACGGTATAAGCGAACAAGCATAACTAACAAAGTAGTTATGATCTACCCTGGAAGGTATTTTTAAACTGAAATATCCATGTCTGCATATAATTTGCATGAAAAGGTAAGCAACGCTCTGTTCGAAGTCGAATCATATCCTTGTTGTTCAGTTTGCCCTATTATTAAAATAATCCAGCTCGCAAGCACCGGATTTTCAGCTTTCACGTGGAATTCGTTCTATGACTCAATTCCGCCAGATTCTACCATTAAAAATGGTTATGTGCGACTATAAAGCGTCTAACTGATCAGTCATTTTTTTTGAGAAAGACTTTCGGAAAGTAAGTAAATTATCATGGTCTGAGAATTGTTACATTCTTCATAATCGACGATAGTTGGTGGCGGAAACGGATTTGCTAGCACGTAAACACCTAAATATAATACAATACAAAATGCCTTTGGGATAAAAACAATAACAAATAAAGAATCATGTAAACAAATATGCCCAACTGTCACTTATGTTGACTATGTTACTATAACACCTCGCACAACAAAGTCCCATTTCAGGCTGAGAAATCGAAGACGTTCGCGACTACAAATTTACGGAAAGTCTTGGCAAACTCCGTAAAAATACTATTCACCTTCAAACGCTTTCTTCGCCATATTGGAGAAACCACACCATGTTTTGGAAAACACAATAGCTGGGTTATCCTGTATCTCCTTGTCAACGAGTTGTTCTACCGTCGTTTTCATACTGAAAAGTCCAACTGAAGAGAGCGAAGATCCCATGGGATATTTTTCTTACAATAAAATAGGATAAAATCGAATTGACGGATTAGAATTGAAAATCGCGGTACCAGTATTTCGGTGAACTCTGATGCGGTAGTTGTCTCTGTAATAGTTACAGAATATATATATTGAAAAAGATCTTGCTTGAGGCTTAATCGAACAATTTAAAATAAAAAAAATTTATTATCTCAAGAGCGGTAGAAAAATTAGAATAAGGCATGTTATCTCCTCACGTTTTTCCGCACTAGTCAACAAAGTGACGTCATAAAGAATCGCCTTCTTGATTTGAATGTCAAGTCATGGTGACGGTCGTCATCGACAGAGAAAACGCAATGCGAAGCATTGGTTACGCGTCTGGGTTTGGTTCAAATGATTGTATACACAAAAATCTGTATAATTAACATAGCTCATTCCGTAAAAGACCTTTCTTGTAAACAACCGTGTTTGAAAATCCAATATACAGTGTCCAGTGGTGAAAAAATTATTAATATGTATGGATACCTTTTGTTTTATTAATAATATGTAAGATGTAACCTGTTTTCCATGGTTTTTGTATATGGTAAAAAAAAACATATATTTTGTTCATTTCTTAAAATTGAATATAAACCGATCACCAAAGTTGACTATATGCTCTGTAACATTTTAATCTAATTTCGGCTTTAAAATCCGTAGTTGTTTTTCGATAGTCTTATATCACACGGAAATGTTATTGTCCTGCGCGATCAATTTTATGATATAGAAAAATAGATTTTACGAAAAATAGTTTTGGTATTATTGTTTGCCATCACGCCATGAGTTTTATTTATATCGTGCTAATTCATCGCGTGATCTGTAGAACAGAATATACTACGCCACAAAACTAGTTTCCTTTTTCTTTACTTGGACAAAGTAAAATTTCAAAAAGTGCATTTTCATTGCAAGAATGTTTGAAGAAACTCACGGTGAGAAATAAATTGATAACTAATATCACGTTTACAGCTATAACACAATGACATTTCGTTTTCGAAACGGTTCGCAGTTTTGCTATAGGGCAAATAATACGACAAAGCCGGTCTCGCTTTCAAATAGTCGAATATTCGATTTATTCAACCTTATTAAAAACTATATATATATATATATATATATATCAACAGGTCGAAATTTGGTATTTCCTTGAAAGGCTGTGGATATAACTCTATCGCATATTTTTTGTTCTACCTTCACCAGACTTTAAACACATCATCCACATTGCCTCCTGTTCATGATACATTGTATTATGATACAATTTTTTTGTCTTTACTTGGACAAAGTAAAATTTCAAAAAGTGCATTTTCATTGCAAGAATGTTTGAAGAAACTCACGGTGAGAAATAAATTGATAACTAATATCACGTTTACAGCTATAACACAATGACATTGCGTTTTCGAAACGGTTCGCAGTTTTGCTATAGGGCAAATAATACGACAAAGCCGGTCTCGCTTTCAAATAGTCGAATATTCGATTTATTCAACCTTATTAAAAACTATATATATATATCAACAGGTCGAAATTTGGTATTTCCTTGAAAGGCTGTGGATATAACTCTATCGCATATTTTTTGTTCTACCTTCACCAGACTTTAAACACATTGCCTCCTGTTCATGATACATTGTATTATGATACAATGTATTATTTGCTGTAATTAAATAAAGTTAGTAACAAAACTGAGTTGTCCGAAATTATATGAGTTGAGGGCACTACTCAAAAATCTAAGCATACGCACTGGTTTATCGTTTACAAAATCAAATGAATCGCTGAGTTACTATACATTTCAGAAAGAGTAGAACGTTAAGAAGACGGTATTTTTTTAAGCTCTTCCTAGTTTGCAAAGAGTAGGGTTTTGTTTTTAATCGATTCTAAAAAAAAAAACATCGTGTTTTCAAACAAGGGCTTGTTTTAAATCAACATTTTTCTGTATTTTTTATTAAAATACCCCTTGCATCGCCGCCCAAAACGTTGCATTCTGGCAGTTGCACACGCAGCCGGAATTATAATTTCAAAAATGAAAGTAAAACTTTTTATTTTGACCACTATTGCGTACATTTATCGCCACCTTATATCTCCACCAAAGTCATAAGATTTTACCCGGAATGTTTAGCCGAGACATCAGAGAGACGTTTTGAGTAAGAAAAATTATGAAAATTAGCTCACGAGCCTCCTTCCTACAAAAGCAATTCGATCAAGTGCAGCCATTCGGCAAAACGAGTGGGTTGCGATAATGAAGAATATGCTTATATCGGCGGTAATCTACTGATATGAACAATGAGACACCTTAACCTAGTCTATGTTATTTGTAAGAGTCCTCTGATGCAAAGACGCCACAACTAACATGTTATGACGCCATAATATGGATTTCGAGGTCATTTATTGACATTGTTCTCATAAAATGAAGTTACGATTAATACTGTTCGGTTAATTTATGCTTAGCATACTTTGTTTTTTAAGGTTGAAGTGGGTTTTTCAAGGTTATACAAACTCATTTTTTCGATCGCATTTCAATTTTCGCAACGTGGTTTCATCGCAGCAGGGTCGTTCACGTAATGGCTACTCGGTTGCGTCTTACTGCGCCAACCACTGAACTACAGCTTGACAGGTGTGCATGAGCCTTTATCGATATTTGTGGCGTTTTGAAAGGTTTATTGCAAATAAGAAGCGCTTGGCAAGTTTTTACATCCATTTTTCTTCAACCTATTTAATACAAAAAAATCAAATAGTACAGTCATTTTGAACAAAACAGGCAAAAAAAAACTTGATTTAAAACAATTGTTTTAAAACAATTCTTTTTGAACAAACCCCTAGCAAAGAGCATATTACCACCATTGACAATAACATGAACCCTAAGCCGTGTCAATTTGGACCCGGATTAAATTTTAAAGTTTGAGCCGCTCCTGTTTCAAATCACATGTCGAATCCGTATAATAATATATTTCATGAACAACACTGAAATGATTTTATGTGAAATAGAGATTGTTGGATTTTACAAATATGAGGGATTTGGTCCACTTTCAGAGCATTCGCAGATAATTTTCGTCATGAAATATATATACAGTATATATATATATATGTACCCGTGCGAACGGTATGCTGAAAGGTATGTACAAACAGAGTAAATGAATTTATACCTAACAGGAGAGTCACGCTTAAATATATGGATGCCAAGGTCAAATGGTTACTGCAATGCCGGCAAAATTCTAGCCAAATAAAGAAATTTACCGAAAGTCATATGAAGATGTGCCGAAGTATTCCGCGAATTGTCAGAACATGTACCATGTTGATTTTCAACTAATATTTGTGGCTTATTATAATCATAGACTATATGAGTGGAACGAGCGGACTTCGAGGGCCCCTGATTTTCACTAGCTCCACTGCGACTGTAGCCTTTATATTTACAGTATATTATATATATATATATATATATATATAAATAATTCGACATTCAGAAAACCTGCATCATAGTAAAACTACAATTAACAAAATAACATGAATAATATATCTTACTGGAAAATTTGCATAGAATTGAAGAGACAGTTTGCTGTTAATTTAGCCACATATATCGTGTATATAATGAAATTCTATAACTGAATGAAAAGGGAAGCCTTTGCACTGTTTCCATAATAACGTGAATTCACTTTTCGAAAACTTAAGGAAAATATTTAAAAGTACACTAAATTTGGTCAAATTTACCAAAAGAAGAACCAAATAAAAAAGTTATTGTCTAATGAAATTTTAGAAACATATTTTGGAACATATCTGTACAAAGAATGTTTATGTCGAGTAATATTATAAATCAAAATATGCTGAAGTTTTCGTAGTTTTCATAAAACTATTATATGTCATACGCCTTCATCAGGTACGATACCGGCACTAAACCAATGTCACCATCAGCTGATTCTGCTGTCCACCATCCATAGTCTTCATATTCCTGTAGAATGCAAAATCAAACTGGTTGCTAAGAAATGAACATGAATGCGGTTATAGCAGTTGCTGAATTTGATTTGTGCGACCCTGTGTCTTGAAACTCAGAAGTCGACTGATTTTCAGTATGAGACAAAAACATAGTGAATTCCAAATCTATCAGGGATGTGCGTGGTATAACGATGACGTACGAAAGTTTTTATTAATTCTTGTAGCTCGCAACACAGAAGAAATAAAACAATAAAAAAAACTTGCACATGAATTCATTGTTTGACCATACCCGTGATATAATATGAACGATTTCTTCTCTCTTAAATTTTAATTCATTGTTTTCTTCTGCATCGCAATCCCACATTCCTTGATACATGTTTTCGTAATCCTCTGTTTGAAAAAATAATGCTTGTGCGATTAATCTATCTCGGAGATGGAATGTCTCTCAGCCACCATTACTTTCTTCTTGTGTTTAAATCATATAATATTTTTGTACCATACCTTGATCTTCGCCAAAGGGATCAAGCGAATCAACGGAAAATTCGTCATCCGAAATAGGCGGCGGTAACGATGAAACAGATCCACCGGTATTATCAAACAAGCCGACTGGAGGTGGCGGTAAGTCTCTCTATTACGGAAAAATATAAAAAATAAGGCATTGGTTACGAAATTTTTCAATAACGAAAAAGTAGAAATAAGACATACCCTATTAAAAGATACTGGTTCTCCAGGAAGTGGCATCGCAGAGCGTTTATGATGCATGAACGTGCCGCTTGCAGAACCGGTTTCGTCCTTTGGTGGAAGAGTAGGGAAACCAGCAGGCTGAAAATTATTGGAAAATTTGCAACATAGAGATGAAACAAGAGAGCAACACTCAAATATATGGACACGTAGACGAGAGCGAATCAGTCCTTACCGGTACCTCTGACGCTACCGCTACCCTCAGAAAAGTTCCGGATTCCCAGTAGCAAGAATTATGCAAAATCAAAGCGTACAGTCAGTCATCACGCGGACTACAATCCGTGTTCCCATGGATAAAAATAATACAGCGAATTTTTGGACGAAATATCAAATTTCATAGAATTCATACAAAATTTAGAAATAAATAAAAGTAATAGCCTTCTGGAGAAACATTCCATCTTCAACCACTGAAAATTTCAAAGCAATTGGTCGAGTAATCGAAGAGAAAAGCGACTTTTTAATAATCATGTCAAAGAACAAGCATAAGAACAACAAAAATACCACAACGATCGTTAGGTCCACTACGTGTCAAATAATTAATTAATCGTATATATACGGTAAATCGCTGTAGAAAACTCACTGGTTTCGGAGATGCTGGGACAGGCGGTAAATCAGCTTTTGTGCTGACACGACGTTTGTTGGTAGATGATGGCGATGGAGGCAGCAATCGCTGTTGCTTATCTGAAAATTCGAATATGTTTCATTAGGCAATAAAAGATTCCAAATCTCAACTACAGTATAATAGGCAGGCATGTCCATGGGACATAATTTTTTGTCCCATTCCCATCCCATAGCAATTATGCCTGTCCCATCCCATGGGATTCCCATTGGAATAAAATTCAAAAAAAAAATTGTTAAATTTGGGTTTAGCGTCTACTAAACAGGACTACATGTACGAATAGACATAACAAAATTTAAGGGCTTTGTTAACTTTATATTCACAACTATTATAAATGTGTTCATCAGCCCCTTTACGAAGTATATTGTTGATGCTGAATATATTTGGTTCTTTATAACTAACAAGAGAGTTATGCCCAAATATATGGAATCGAATGCCATAACGAAATGTTTTACCATCATTTCCCCAAAAATCATACGGTTTACGTGTCCCACGTGTCCCATGGGATATACAAATGTGTGTTGTCCCATCCCATCCCATGGGACGTTTCCCATGTGAATCCCATTCCCATGGACAAGCCTGGTATTAGGACATTGATTATAGAACGTCGCAATTGGATATTCTAAAATGGATGACCATTTGCATATTTTAAGCCTCATACGGCGGGCATTTTGCATTTTCAATTTCTAATTTCAGATGCGCACATTTTTTCGGAAACACAAGCAGCCAGCCAAACACACGTAGCAACTGTGTTGGCGGAATTGGTGTATACAGTTGAGCCGCCCTCAGTCGTCTATATGAATGGAGAGGCGGTTTCACATTTATTACTAAAAAGGTGGGTGGTGAGTATTATTCAGTCGAATACAAGGTAATTCAGGATGTCAATTTCTTCAGTAGTCGACTGAAAACTTTAATTTCAAATCTAAAACAGTCCATACTACTTTGGCTAGATAAGCAATAGAGTTATGTCTCTCGATCACTAATTTTAAATTATTTTGTCAAACATAAGGGCACTCGTATAAGTTTACATGAAAAATATTTTAAAACTGCCGCATTTTATTTCGTTTTTTTTTTAAACTTTTAGCCTTGAAAATGGTGGCTATTACACTAGAAATCACTACATCTTTGACTCCATAACAAATTAATGTCGTATGAAGACAAAATATATAGCAATACAGCGGACAGGTTCTGCAAGAACAATATAAAATTCAAATTTTTATAGAAAGTCAATTAAACTATGTCAATCAAACTCATACCCCCTTCATATTCTTCGTAAAAATCACCGCCTTCCTCAATTATGGGTGGTGCTGGAAGACCCATTCCTGTGTCGTCGTATGTCTTGCCGCCAGGAAGTCTGCCTACATCATCATAGCTTTCTCCCCCGCCCATTCTACCGACGTCGTCATAGCTTTGGCCGCCCGTTCTGCCAGTGTCATCGTAGTGACCATCTCCAGTTTCTTCATAAATATCTCCTGCATCTTGAGCGGCAGTATCGTCGTATGTATTTTCTTCTTCAGCAGTTTCAGCTGCTTTTGAAGGAGATTTAGAAGACTTCTTGGGCCATTCTATTTCATTGAAAATACGTTAAAAAGGCATTAAAAAGTGTCAAATAAATCAAAGTTTACGTAAAATATTTTAACCTAAACTTTGGACGTTTTCAGTTATTTATGAGAGAACAATTCAAATTAAACGCCAAATCGTTGACTAATGTTTTTTTTCAATATAGTAAATCCGAACTAGTGCACGCCACGCAAGAGATGAACCTACTTCGGACTTTTCTAGTTATTTATGCAAGAACAACCTAAATTAAACGCTAAATCGTTGACTGATGTTTTTTCAATATAGTAAATCCGAACTAGTGCATACAAGAGATGAACCTACTTCGAACTTTTCAAGTTATTTATGAACGAACAACTTAAATTAAACGCTAAATCGTTGACTGATATTTTTTCAATATAGTAAATCCGAACTAGTGCACGCCATAGATAAGAAATCAAATGGAAGCGTGACCACTGATAAACGGGAGCAATACAAACTGCAAGTCGCGATTTATTGATACTTCAATCTTACTTGGGAACGATATTCCCTTCTTTTTATTTTTCAGTGACTCATTGTTTTCCGCTGAACCGATCATAGCTGTACCCACGTCATCGTATGTCTCGCCGGCAGACCCAGACAAACTGTTCGAAACTAAAGACAAATATAATCCCAAATAAATATCAATACTAGTTCATAGTGGGTATATATTCTAAGCAAGAATTCAAGATAATGTCGATCAATATATATAAGCTGATATTTGAAGAAAAAAATTGTTTTTCGCAGACGTTTATGCGCACAAATAAGAGAACTTGAAAATAGCTTCAAGAGTAATTAGTTGTGACAGACCTATTTTACCGTTTCAGTATCTCAGCACAGGTGAAAACATCAGTACAAACCAAACCATTCATTCATTAATAGTATATTCTTGCTTTAAAGAAGGAAATTGTTTTAACTATGAGATTGCGTTTGGAACCAAACCAAATCAAGCTGCCAATGGAATGGAATTAGCAAATATGAGGCGGATCATCTGTGTAAATGCGTGATTGAGACGAAATAATTTACGAAAAATAAATGACCTGATCCACGTTTTGTTTTATTTTTCAAAATTGCTTGCCACTTCATCATGTTTTCTTTGTCGGATGCGCAAAACTGTAAAATGAAAACTCTTTGATTGAAATTGCTCATGAACGATTAGAATAGCATACCGTAAAACCTCTATTTCACCGCCATAGCGCTCCATTTTTCAACTCTTCTCCTATAGTGGTGTTCTATTAGAGGTGACGTTTAGAGGGTGGCGCTCTATTTTTCGACTAGCTGGTCAGAATTTTGAAATAAATTTATTAACGAAAGGAAAAAACATCAAACACATTTATATACAGATAATTTGCAAAATATACCAATACCAATGATAACTGGTAAGTAATTCAATTCACTGGTAAAAATCAAGTGACGCGTCGCTGTTGAAGAGGTCTTCGTCATTTTCAATACTTTCCGCATTAATATCAAGTTGCTGAATAAGTTCACGTTTACCAGTGGCGTTCAATTAGAGGGGGCGCTCTATTTTACAGCTCTTCCCCTATAGTGGTTTTCTTTTAGAGGTGGCGTTCAAATAAAGGTGGCGCTCAAATAGAGGTTTCACGGGTAATCATTATTGGCGTGTCATATAGATTACAGATAACGTCCAATGACGTGAGCAGTCCGTACAACACCACGAAAATATCTAAGCTAGTTTGAATTCACTTCTAATATTGAGTAGAACATCGGTATCTAGCCCATTTTCTTGACAGTCTAGAGTAGACTCACTGCAGGAGTAAGCAAGGATTTGAGACCAGAGCCAAAAATTTTGCCCACCAAGACTGGCGGTGGCGGGTCATGTAAGTGTGACGTAAAAAGTTACATTTTATGAACGATATTTACAGTGTTACAAAAGCAAAAGTATAAAACAGTAAGCTTCGTGCCAATACTACATTTAATCGCAATCTCAACAAATTCCTCGAGATATTTTCTAATAAACCATCAAAATTTAGTTTTAGTTTGGTGGTGGCAGCATCAGGAGGGAAAATTGAATTACCAAGTCATACTGATTTGGCCCGCGGGTGTAGTGTGCCCATGTCTAGACTCCAGTTGTACTAATATTGACAACTTTACACAATCATGAAGGAAACCATGTCTGTAATACGCTCTTGGTTTCAATAGATTGGACGAAGAAACTTTGAATAATACAAGAGAGCTATGCTCAAATGTATTGACACGTAGAGTCACATAATTTTGATGACGTCATAGCGGAAAAAAAAGTAAAATTTTTATCTTCACTGAAAATTTCAAAGCAATTGGTCCAGTATTCGAACAGAAAAGCAATTTCTTCAAAACGTGTTGACGGAGACAAATAACAACAATAACAACAAAATTTTGAAACGACTGTTACGTCCACTACGTGTCCAATAAAATCATTGACGTGCAGATAATAACAATTAGAACAGCAGAGTTTTGTAGCAATATGTTTGACATTGCTCACGATTGTTCGCTTCGTGGACTATTCTTATATAAATATGAAAATTTCAAAAATGTACACAAATTTTTGAAATATCCGCATGCCATACCTCATATGATTTCTCATCATTCTTCAATTCAAAACAACGTTCTTTTCTTTTTCCTTCCTTTGTGATATCATCACGGATTTGAAATACGTATCCAGTTACATCAAAGGCATCTTTTTGCTGTTTATCTGTTAATTAATAATTATTATCATCAAAACCAATATATGCTAGCAAACCAAAATGGAATTTAACGAATATCATTATTCCAGTAGGACATTTGAATATACTGACGTTAATCGGTGACTACAATTTACATCATTACTTCCCTTTCTGTCGTTCATACATACTTTTGTAGTCGGACTGAACTAAAGATGAAAATTGTGTTTCATAGCCAAGTTGAGCGCCGATTGATGTACAACAACATACAATTCAACTTTGAATTAAAACATTAAAATATATTGAATTCATCTCATTCGATAAACCTTAACTTTATTTCTTCTCACCTGTTGCACTTTCATACAGATAAAATATATTCCCTTTCAAAACACACCATCTTTTTTGCCATGCGCTCTTCAAAATGTTCTTCAGTGCACCGTCTTTCTTGAGCTCAAGTAATTCAGAAACTTTTGGATTACTTATTTTTTCGCAGGCAATAGGTTCTGAAAAATATATTAATTTCCTAATTTTGATGTAGTAAAATTTCAATTCCAACGTTGAACTGACCATATGTTAGATAATTAATGGAATTTCAAATCATGCTTACCTATCTGCCTTTGCTGTCCTACATCGTCATACGTTTCTCCTGTGAATAATTAAGAACACATTTTTGTCATCCCGTTTCAATCTTGGAGTGTATATATCATGATCATAACAATCGAATAGCAATATATATTAAATTCAAGTTTGATTTAGAAAAAACATCTACAAAGAACAATCACCTGGACCTAGTTATCAACTAAAAAGCAAAAGTTATGTTGCCTCAGATACTAGATAAAAACGTTATGGCCTAGATATACTGCTCTATCTCAATTGAAAGTTGATTGTTCTCGCATCTATTGGTATTCCTAGTATGTATATGCTAAAACATTTTTGTCACCACCTGCCGCATCGTCGTAAATGCCATCATCTCCTTCACTAGGCGCTCCACCTTTTCCTATTAAACGAGAAAGCAGTGCTCAAATATAAGGACACGAAGGCAAAAACGAAGTAGTGATAAATAAAAGTAACAGCCTTCTAGCGACAGCAATCTTCAACCACTGAGAATTTCAAAGCAATTGGTCCAGTAGTTTCACAATAACAATAACCACAAAAAGAAAGGAATGCCAAGAAGAATACGAACAACAATTTAACAAAGGATGCATAGGTTCACTCTGTGTTCGATAAACTTTATACTTGTCCATACTCAAATGTTTCATATTATATTTTCTCGTGAATCAAAACATAGCATTTTTTAATTCACCTATTTTTCCAACTGTTTCTCGGCAATGCCAATATTCAAAATTTTCTCACCATCACTTTCAAAATCTCAAAACGAAAAAGTCTTTAGACGTAAAGATGAGAAATACCTAAACTGATTATTCCGAATCAACTTATAAGTGTGGTCGTAAATCTGTTCCAATGCTTAACCGAGAACGTCCAAATTACCCGAATACAACATTTGAACAGAAGCATAATACTGCATATATATTGATAAGACTGAACAATATATTGGAAGAAGTAGTAAGAATCAAGTAACCAATATTACGCTTTATATTTCTTACCCGGCACGTTTCCCAAATCGTCATAACTTGCTTGTACGTCGTCATATACGTCATCGACAACTGCTTTACTTCCAACATCGTCATAATTCTATGATTTTCAAATAATATTATTACTTGATTTAGAATATATTGGTGAGTATGGTCTGTTGATATTCAACGACATATGGAAAAACGTTTAAACATGTACGTTGCGATTTGTACAGCAATTGACAAGTTTATCCAACGCCCAAGCATGTTAGAATGTTAGTTGAATATTTAATTGATTTATATTTTGAGGGGGAAATGGCGTCCCAATCGCCAAGACCATTACCAAATCTCATTAATAATTGACGTTTTAAAGAGTTCGAAAAAGAATAGTTTAATTAAGACCAAAATATTATAAGCATATACCTCTTCCTCCTCACCTCTGATATTCTTCTCGCACCTAAATAAAAAAATATTTATCTCCCTTTGAGGTATATATATATTTTTGTATTATATGTATGTGTGCATATTGTGTCTTTGGCTTTTGTTGGACCCGAACAGGGTGTTCAGCCGTTATTAAATTTTTTATTAAAGACGATAGTAAATTCTTGAACAGTCATAATTGAGGAAATTGAATCAGCTATATTATTTGACAATTCGGTTACAATTGAACTTTTTATAACAGCACCCAATAGATCGGGTAGTCATTGAACAAATTTGGCTGCACGAGTGTAACCAGATTAAACAGGAACTTTGTTGTCGGCGGAAGGTTTTAACTGACGTTTATGAAATCATCTCTGGATCTGGATTCAAAAAATCGACTTCAGCTGTCTATAATTCGTAATAAGAAAACTTTGGCTTCAACACTCTGCCTAGGCAATCCGAAATTACGACTCAGAATTTCAACCTCAGCTAGCTTGAGAATTCGCCTTAACGGATCATTTCTTGGTCCAATTTCAATGCCGACTTCAGCCCTCCAGATTCAGACTTCATTTTCATTTTAAATACCTTTCCTTCATAAACTTGGCTTACCGTAAAGTTATTTGTTTCAGTTTATTAACCAATGCTTCTTTTTCTGCTTTCTGTTTCTTGTCGATTTTTGTCAGCTTTTCTAGAAACGTGATTGCCTCTAAAACGAAATAGTCAATTAGTAAATAGAAAACGGAATTCAGTCAAAGCACAGTCTCAACTTTTTATCGGCTGTCAATGCAATTTCCTAAGCATGTGGTTTATCTGTGATGTGATCCATACCTTAAGTTTTGACAACGGCGTCCCTACATAAGAAATGTAATACCAAACACCCACACAAACAACAGCGATGCAACAAAACAGAAATATGAAAATTTGATACGCTATTAAGCTTTAGTCTTTACAATCCTATTAGTTACTTAGTTTCGAGTCATGCTGTGACTCGTTCCTCCGAAGTCGTTGACATGTTTTGCCCAAAATATGAACCAACCAAACAGTGCTGAGACATACACGGTATCCATAAAGTCTAACAGTTGAGGTTGCGTAAAACTAACTACATTTTCTTGCTCTATATGCCTTTGCGCAGGTGGATCCGTATGCGTATTACGCAAGGATGGTGTAGCAAGAGTGTAAATGGCTATTCTATTCAATTCAAGAGTCTTGCTGCACACGAACACAGATATATTTCTGTAACGTTTCGTCTGACCGAGGTCAGACTTCTTCAAACGCTTGTCTGAAGAAGTCTGACCTCGGTCAAACGAAACGTTACAGAAATATATTTGTGTTCGTGTGCAGCAAGATTCCATAAAGTCTCTCAGCAATTTTGACTTTGATCATATTTTTGTTAACTGTAATAATACCGTGTATATTGTATGGGGCCGAGACTCGGGATCTATAACACTTGGCAAGACAAATATATGCAGCTGGTATTGTTGGAAATCATTTGTTAATTGCAATGACCGAAGGTTTCTTATCCATATTATTTAGAATACTGGTACATCGGATACTATTTACACTACATTTACTCACTAACCCCTCTTCAGGTTGAAATGACTTATCAGTCATATCAGACGGCAAATATTTATTTTCAAAGCAACCATGCGAGAAAGTTGACTGCGTATGACAGCAATTTATATAAATATATAGGCTATACCAAATTATGTGTTTTAATATGGTGGGATAATTTGGTCTTTTCTCATGTACTTTCGGTTCGAATTACGTTTTAAGAATTCTACGTCCAGTAATCTGCTCGCTCATTTAGTTGCATTCAAGCTTGGAATCTGCCTCAAATCCATCGTTGAAATAATCTTTAATAAAATTATTTATAACGTAAAGAATATTTACCGTTAAAATTCTTTATCACATCTTTGAGAAGCTCCATTATTCCAGTTCAGTGTTGTAAATATTTGACACTTATGATTTATGAGTGTCCGTCCTCTGCGCTTAACGCCTTCGGCAGCTACTCGAACACACACAGAACTTGCTGTTTGGGAACAGACAACCTAGCCCTGTTTATTCTCATTGAAAGCAATGAAGTCACAATTTAACTACTTCCGTGTGTGACACATTGTGATGCGCCTGCTTGAGCGAAACGCCTGATATGACTAGTTGTTTGGTTGCTACTATGACCAAGTCAAGAAAATACTCATTACATTTTGACGAGGTATCTTGACTTCATTGTGCCCAAAGAAATTCCTAGATTTACCGGTTCAATTACATTTGAACTCACGTACATTTGAACCCATGACTATTGCACCTATGGAAATTTTTTTGTTTTACGGATATTTGAACCCATACTTACCCTATCCCATGGGTTTTAGCACCCGCATATAGATTGAACCCGCGCATATACGCTTGGGATCAAATGTACGGTCGCCAGATTTACCTTATGTCAGCAATTAATTTATTGCTACCACAGTGACATGGGGGAAGTTACTTTGCGAGAAAAACGTTCCAAGTGTAGGTGCTCAGTTTTTTAATACTCATGTGGGCGACGAAAAGCGGGATTTAATGTCCTGTCTGAATGATTATCAACGATATAACACATTTTAGCAACGCTCATGTAATTCTAATACTCCAAAACACATTAAGCTATGAATTTCTTCCGAAATTTAATATATATATATATATACCCAACCTTGTAAACATAGTAACTGCGAAAATCTAAAATCCTAATATACATCACGCACCCTCAGTGATTAGGCCTGCCGACATGGTTGCAAACATTTCCGGGCAATACAAAATTATAAAAGTCAGGCGACGAGAAAACATCGGCGTTGGTGCAACTCTAGAACACCCTAGGACCTAGGTCGTACCAGACAACAATTTTCGTTGCAAATCTGTACTTCGAAGCATATTTAAATGAAGCCAATAATATTATCCTTTATACCTTCGATCAGATTTCAATAAGTTCCTTGATACTGAGGGGTTATTGTTAGGTTTACACAATCGAATTGCTTCAAAGTAAAAACGCAACTGTAATTTTTAAACAAAGTCATGCCTATCATGTTTCGCCAGACTTTCACTGAGAATTACCGTCAGGTGACACGCGAGAAAAATATTTGATGAAAAATACACATTTAGATACTTTAATTAGTTTGTTCACAAGTATTTGCTTACTCGAAACAACACGGGGAAGTTTATGTATCATCGTAGTTGGAGCAGCTTCAGAAGTTACCACCAAGTATTCCTAGATTTTTTCAGCATAAGTGTGATCTTAAAAGGAATTTAAACATCTACTCCGCAGATATCGTGTTCACTGGCTGACTGAATTGTGGTCCTATTGACGAAATTGCTTCTTGAAAGCCCTGAACTAAATGCTTGGATTATTCAGACGTAGACAAATAAATATCGTCTTACAATTTAGAATAACGAGAATCCGGAAATACCCGCGAGCGTTTATTATATTCAACCAAGTATGGGCTCTTGATGACACGCATAAACTAGGTGTTGTTTATATAAGAATTACACAAAGCAAATTAAATTCATTTTCATCGTGAAGAAACGAAACATACATCCGAGTTTGCTTAGTGACAATCGACAGATGTTATCTGGTGAAATATACAAGATATGTATAACGCCATATACATTGTCGACGCTGAGATTTATTACTTATTCCAGTTTAATTTTATGTTTAACGAAATTCAACAAAGTATGAGTGAAAATCATTAAATTCTGTAACATGATCTGAAACTCTCTATAACGCAAGGAACCACAATCTTTTTAAACATCAAAACAATCCCGTATAACAATGGACAGCTATGGTCATTTTTAACTCAAATCTTTCAGAGAAATTCTTTCTTTTCCTTACAATAATGACCCGAAAACCCTTCCTGGCCATTCATAAGATTCGGAAAATAGATAGAAGACAAAAGCAACAATGTTTAATAATAATATAGTAGTGAATTGCATGCAGTAAATATCTCACCAATGATTTACTAATGACAATTAATTAAACAATACAAATTAATTTTATGATACATTGAGTGAAAGTTAGAAGAAGAAAAAGAATACCAGAAAATCACGATTGTTTATATATTTATAGAAAGTGCAAATTAAGAAAAAAATCATAAAACAACAGCAGTGAACAAGCTGACACATTCAACGCCTGTACAATATTTACTAGTAGAAACAAGTTCCAAATACACATACACCATCCATATACATCGACTGATCCTTCATTAAAAGTCAAATTCTCTCCGTAAGACAATACCATTCTATTGAAAAATACCAACACATCACTACGCTAGAAAAAATGATATTGCTGATTCCATAATCAATTAGCTGAAAAATTTTGTATGAATGAAGTCTTTCATCAAAGTCTTATACTTGACTACCCACAAATCAAAACAAGCAGCAAAAATGCAAAACTTCAGGTTACATTTCTCAGTTTAGTGACACGGGGACATATGTGAACAAATCAAAATACGAATACCATCAGAATTAATTACAGATAGCAAATAATTGTATGAAAACTACAGATTTTGATTAGGTAGGGAATTTTTATTCCAACACTAAACACAATCATTTGATTAGTATCAAATATTAATTGTTCATTGGAAAACGTACATAAAAAATATTTTCAATATATATTTTTTTGATATTTTTTTGTTTTCAACTCCGACTGTTGCATGTTGAAAATGAGCAGAGACAGAGTAAAGCCCATATGAATGTTTTTATATGAATTTGCAGAGACTCAAAATAACATTTCCATGAATTCCATCACATGTATGAATATTTAGAACGAGGTTGAGTGTTTTAATTGTGTTTAGGATATTCAAATGACGATTTCCAAAACTTGTTGTGCCTTATATTATTAGACTTTAGACAATTATTATGTTCAATACTAGTTGGATGCAAAATTATATTAATTTACTTATAGAATAAAGCCTATTCTGATGCAAAAATAATGGAAAGAAGGACAGGCTGCAAAACATTTGGTATATAGCATCTTCAGCAATCGATCATGTTAGAGGGCTACAGTATTAACTTTGTAGTAAATTTTTCTAATTGTTAGTCATAACAAAAACTGTGAAATGTATTTACTTGCTTACTTTATTTAAATAGATATGTCCGACTTTGGTATTTAGTACTGGCGGCATCACAAACTGTTATTGTAATTTACATTGCAAGATATGTATGTAGGCAGAATGAGGACGAATAAAGAAAATAAATCAAAGAATCACTGCTATTTTTACTCTACAGCATAAACATAATTTCCAGGGAAAGTTCCAAACGCACCAGTGCGCTCGCATGTTCCGACGAACCATCCATCATCACATTTCTCAACAACTTGCACAATATCTCCTCCCTTGAGTTCAAGTTCATCCTCATTCTGTGGAATATAAGGATACAACGCAACATGCTTCTCTTGAGTTGGAAAACCATCATCAAGAATTTCATTTACATCTTTCTGTGCGGATGATTCTTCAATTTTCGGTGATTCGTTGTGAGATGATGAAGATGATATGTTCGAAGTCACATCAGCTGGTTTGCTACCTATTTGAAGATTCTGACCTAAGTCACTATGCAAACTACTTGATGTTGTCGATATTGTTGTATCATATGAATCTTGCGATGTATGCTTGCCATTTACACCGTGTGATATTCCCATGGCTTCATCATCAAGTTCAGGAATATCAAATTCTCCTCTTCTTTCATGCGGTTTATTCAAGCCAACTCTACTTTTTACAACAGCATTAGCAAGGAAGGATGCCTTTGACATTTTTTCTTTGTCTGGAACACAAAATATGTATTATAGTGATACTTGGAAAAAGGCACAATAAAGTGTTAAAAAGTGTCCTTGGAAGACAGTAACAAATATTATTTTTCCTGGGCTAGGTGGCCTAGTGGTCAAAGCATTAGACTTTCTATCTCTTCTAGTTGAATTATTGATTCTTTCCAATGAAAAACAACTCAACGACCCTTTCTCTTACTTGCAGCATTGCAAGCATTCATTCACTCACAATATTTAAAAATATGAATAAATGTTTTCATTTTGAATGAAAGCAAAATTTTGTAGTATTCTAAGAAATCGTAGATGAAATAAATTACAATACATAATTCGAAATAAGAGGAATCAGGCATTCAAAAATTATGCATTATATAACTTAAATAAAGCAGGTTTCAAATATAAATATTTCCATCCTTATAAGGAAACCGAGCAACAATTTTTTATCTGTGTGATGCCTTCCTAAAGTATATCAAAATAATATTCATAATTCAATACCAGTTAGTATAAACAATATACTTACCATCTGGCTCACCACTATTAGAACTACTACTTGACATAGTTGCATTATGGTTGTATGCTGCTGATTTCTGGGGTTTAGTGCTTATTGATGACTGATTAGTTTTATTGCTGCCAGCAGCTTTCGGTTTTTGTTCTGGTTCTCGCTCAACCTCTAGATAATTCGATGGAAGTATTCCAGATTTTTGACCAATGCAACCTTTGTACCTGGTGTTTTAAATGTGAGATAATTAAACCACAAACTTCCTACAAAGTTTTAGAAACATGTAACAAGAATATGTGGTGATTTAACAACATCCACCTACACAGTGTTGAAAATAAATGCGACTTATTCTGCATCGTTTTGCTAAAACTATTTTTCAATTTGTTCAATATTGGGAGTCTACCTAAAATCAGTAGTGCGGTGGTACCACTGTAATATTGTAGTCAAATAATATTCTATATATTCTAATGAGATGCCATAACATATAGTTTTTACAATTCAACTGTCAGAAACAACTAATCTGTGTTATTTACTCGCGATAAGATAAACATGGTATGCAATATAATGAGTAATTGAAGTATTCTCATGAAATATGAAAATTCATGAAAACAATAATCAGACAACATGAAAAAGCATTCAATTTTAAAAAGTTCAAAAAACACGTTAATAACTGACATATGTCTATTTTAATTTAAAAGTTGAACATTGAAAGGGATATAATGTATAATTATATTTTTGAATACAAATTTACTTATGGATGTTGGAGTATTCTAGTTGAAGATTAACAAAGTTTAAAGTATTCATGCAAATATTGATAAAATAATTTTGATCGTATTGTAGTTTATAAATTTTCACCATTTCAACTTTTTGTACATTATGAAGACTTTTCATTATATGGATATATAAAAGATTGCGTGAGAATGAGATACGCAATAATTACTTACCAGTTTGCATCAACCTTCTCTATTAACTCAACAATATCTCCCTTTTTCAATGGCAATTGTTTTGGGTCCATTGCTTTAAAATCAAATTTTGCTCGGGCACGACCTCGTCGAAGTGGTTTTGCAGCAGCAGGATTCAATATCTGATGAAAAATGTTTATTTCGATAAATTGGTTGATGTAATTACAACTTCAAATGGATATTTAGTTTCCAATAACTGAACCAAATATCATTCCATGAGCACAATATAAGGCAATATAATTTTATGATTGACTGATGTTCACGTTAATATTTGAATATATTTATTAATAAAAAGAGAAAAATTGTTCAAATATACAATGTGTCCAGTGTAAAAAGAACACTTGATATGCTGATCATTAGGTTGTGTGGTTCTCATATGCTGTGTAACGATTCTATGCATAAGGATTGCTGGAATCCTCGCCCTTGTAAAATAGTTCATGTATTACTTGATAGTTACATTCCATTTTAATGTTTTTGAAAACATTCAACCAGTTATATATTTCACACCCAACATCCTGTTGTTTATTACAGGTAGCAAGCAGGTTCCTTGTTTATGTTTTAGATCAGTTAGACATTGTTTGTGTAAATCATACACTCTCTTATTACATATCACTTTCCCTCAATGGAGATTAATATAAAACTCCTTTTCTAGTAATTATTTATACAAGCTGGTTGAATGAGTGAAAAATAAATGAATCAATACCTCAACATACGAAACTGGAAACATCCCAGAATGTTTTCCATCAGGAGTTTGACCCTCGTACCAATCTTTATTCACATCACGAGTAATGATTACAATTTGATCTTTTGTTAACGTCATTTGTTTATTTGTTTGTGCAACAAAGTTGAACTTGGCTTTTGCCGGTTGACGCTTTTTCTGTGACATTTCTTCTTCCTGCAATGAATGATTCAAAATTTATAATAAATTACAGAATTATAAACTAAAGATAAATATTTGATATAGACTGAGAATTCAGAGTAAAGAAAAGACAAAAATAACATCATAATTCGATACTTTTGTTACATATCAATCAGTAAATATTGCTCATTTCAAAAGTAAGCATGTAATATATACATTGGCTAGTCCCCTTTTCAAATTTTCCATTTTTTAAACCTTTCTAAAACAAAAAGATCTATGTTTAAAATACAACCATCCTTCCATACAAATAGGTAGTGAACTTTGAACGGGGCGCTACACGGATAAGTGGGCAAACCTAAATTTTGTCAAAAATCAATTTGTAGACCATATACTGTTATTAAAGAGATTGCCCCATTTCAAAAAAAAAAACTTGTATGTTACTTATAAAAATGAACATACATTTATGCTGCAGAAGTTACAAAATATACATGTGAATTAGATTCAATTGCATGATATTCAATGAACAATATTCATTGTTCACACACTTAAAAATTGATTTGTTACATGTAGGCTACACATAATTCTCAGTAGATTTACATTCGATCCGAATTTGGACACATTTGATCAGCATTAGTGATATAACTATCATCCCTGATCTATAAAATATTACCTTTTGTTGCTTTACAGGGTGCATTGTCACAACATGCTTTGGTTCCATTACAACATGATCAGCCATAGTGAAGTTGTCTTTCAAACTGTAGTCTGTCAAAAGTGAAATATATTACTGATCAAAGTAAGACTTTTAGTGAAGTGATTTATGTCCGATTATGTGACATCTTATAATTTTTAAGTTCTGACAATTCAGTCTATATTAATTTATGATATTTACACTCTTTTATTTGATATCTTGAAACATTTTAAACTAATCCATCCACAGTTAAATCATGATATACGCAAAAGCAAACCCACAACGTCACTACTATATTATGAATATGTGAACAATTCTATTAGCATTCAGATTTCAAAAACATAATTTAAAGCAAGTTATTAACTTCAATCAAAAAAATTATTTCACAAAATCCTACAAATGCAAATCCTGCTGTGAATCAGTTCAAATAAATAAAAATAAAAACGAACCTGTTCCATGAACCAATTCCACACTTTGCGATTTCTTTTCTGATTTATCTTGCCAATGAGGCTTGTGACTGCAATAAAAATATAAAAAAAAATTCTCTACATTGATAATATATATTAAAATACTCTCTTCACTTGCTTATCTCTGCGAGAATAACCAATGCAATGCTGTGTATTTCTCATACCAAATGCAGATCAATATTGGCTGCAATTTGGTCGCTATTAAAATCACGGCATGCTTTATATACTGCGTCCAGGAAATACCTCATTCTGAATTTTTATCGAGTGTTCCCAAGTATAAAAAAATACCAATTCAAAAGAAATTAAATTTTAAATTTACGAATAGCTATCATCATTCATTTTTCTTTCTACACCACAACACAACTCTGACATATGGTATATATAACACAATGCATTTTTATGTATACCACAGTAAGCTATACCCAGGGGAACATAAAGCATTATAACGTAATTAAGAGAAGAAACAAAATGATGTCATGGATATAACATGTTTATTGGACTTCATATTTTAACCCAATCATACAAATCAACATACTTAATTTTTCCAGCCATCTTTCCTAGTCCAAAGCAACTGAGCCACAAGGCACAAGTGTTATATTTTAAACTTGCTAATCAATAACATGCCCGAGTTCATGAATCACTTTTACATGTTCAATCAATCAAGATCAAGTATAAACCAAAGAATTGCATCAGTGACCTTCATTGCATATATTTCTTCTTTTCAAAATCTCAAGTTGCAAATAAGATAATTACCTAGTTTAAGGTTTTAATTGCTATTTTCAATATTGCTATTATCATACCTTGTTGACGCTGGTGGAATCTTTTCTGCCTGATAACAAAATAATGAAAAATTGAAATAATGACATCTTTTAAAAAAAGAAATATCATATCAAATATGCTATTATTATTCGTTTTTCTAGTGAGTAGCTCTCAATTTGATCGGGTAAGCTCAATGCTGATCTCTGGGGAACTCATATTATGTATTATGACGGGATAGTTCCCATTGCCTTTACTTCAGAAAATCTTTCATGTTTGATTTTAAGACAATGTGAAAGTCATAACATCATAACATTTCAGTAATTATGTTATTGTTAAGTGGCCATTAGAAAAACACAAAATTATTCAACCTGAAAACATAAAATCTATATATGCAATCTAAAAGATATTAATAAAATAAATTTGAACAACGCTTCCATTGATTATACATAAACCAAAAAATCGAATGATTATTGGATTATGCTGAATTTCTTACCTGCATATTTTCAGTGTGCCAGAATTGCTTGGGCTTGAAGGAGGAAAGTGAGAGAGAATAATTGATAAGGAAAAGAAAAAAGGATTGACAGAGAAGACAACACAAGAGAGAGTGAGAGAAATGAAAGAAAAACTTGCTAACTCAATAATACCCTCACCAAATATATTTTACACTTTCACTGTTTTGTATATAACTGACATCAACAACAGAAGCAAGTATGAAAATGGTATTCTAGAAAAAATTGACGATTTTTTCACCATGTCATTTATACAACTCTAATAATACGAATAACTGAATTGTAACAAATAACTCACTGAATATTTGGGCACTGAATATTATTTATTTTTGGCATTACTGTCAACTCTGCATGAGATTCTAAAATAATTTGCTACTGACAAATACAAACAAACTACGGTAATTATTATAAATGTTATTACAACATCAATGCATCTTCAATCTCACCGCACTAGGTTTGAAGATATCATCAAAATAATTATCCCATTCTTGCTGAATAAAATCCTCCAAACTCGAACTTCGCTTCTATTGGAATAAATGAAACATTTGTGTAACATAGATAAGTTGAAGAAATGTCACATCTCTCAATAATATTAATAAGAAATCGGATCTCCAAGACAAATTTGAATTTTTTTTTTGAAGTTTGGAAACAAACGATTTTATTTTGTAATTTGAAACGTCAAAATTAAATAAATAAAATATATTTATAAGAATTTAAAGACATTTTCATTAGTTTAGTTTTGTTTATTTCATTAATACATATTTATCATAACATACAGAAGTATTTTATTCGACAACATCATTTCATGACAATTCCAAAACTAGTTAAAAAATGTGAAACATTATGAATACCATGCAATGCATTTCACTGCAAACATCTCATGATCTACTGAAGACTAACAAAAGGGGTGACAATTATTTCTCTGCAAGAGTTCATGATTCAAAACATAAATATTAAACTATCTTATCTGGCTAATATCTCACAGATGTAACAACTCCAGACAAGATAACATCTAACAATAAAATATCAACTGTATAACTATTGAACAACAACCAAAACACAACTTTTGAATAAATATAAGAGAAAGAGAAAAACAGATATATGGTGCATTCAAATGCAAAGCAAGTTCAGGAAGTAATAAAGATTTGAGAGCCCATTTACAACACTTAATACAAGAGCAACTGGATGAAATAAACATATACAAACTATACAATTACGTCAAATAACCACTTTACATAATTCGAGTTCATTTTTACATTTAAAATGCTATCAAAACAATAACACAACAAAACTATTGAAGTGTTTTTATACAACTTGAACTTTGTAATAAATTTGATATTATTTATATTTCACAGTACAGGCTAGCATATATATGTTTATTAATGGCTTCATGGCATCAGTGCATTATGTGTCGTATCATGCTTTAATCATAGGTGTTAAAAAGAATAATGTGACCTAAATACAATTAAGTAAAGGGTAACATGGAGTATGTTCCTGTATTCCCAGCCAAGTTTCACAGTCAGATGGTAGTAGAGAGCTTTCATTCTCAGATTGGAATTGTTCAATTTAGTGTCATATCTCCCAATTTGAGCTAAAAGTCACATATAAATAAATATTTTTGGATATGATAACGGTAAATACGAATTCCTGTGAGTTTTGGAGCATATTAAATCCATAATGTTAGAAAAATACCTAGCCAAAAGCTATAACTAGGGCTGGGAATTTCAGGTTAAACACTTTAAAGTAAAATTAACCGGATAACCTCAGCATGACGTTCGATGTAATAATTTTAGCTTGTTACATCACAATGATTACAAAGCAATTTCGGGTGATCTCTACCCGGTATCGCTTAAAATTATTCCCGAATGAAGATAGTTTTGTGATTTCTCTGCTGCTGCTGCTGACATTGAATATATGATTTTGCAATAAAATCGTGAACACTATATTTCGACCCAAAACTCATTCTGAGTTTATCATTGTCAAATTTTCATAATCAGCAATCTTGGTACTTCAATTATTTTTCACATTTATTGAGTCCTTACCAATACAGTTAGTGATATTCTTCTGAATTAACGCCACAGGAGATAAATTTGCGATGACGTAATCATTTTTGAAGAAATTGTACATTATAAAGACGATTTACTTGAGATGTCAGTTAACAGTTAAAATAAATCGTAACAGTTAACCATCTAAAATTGGTTAACCGATTATCCGGTTAACCATTCTCAGCCCTAGCTATAACAAGCTCTATGACATCTGTAGACTTAGATACATCATTCTGGAGTAAATAAAAATTCCAAGTATATTCAATATTTGGTTAGTTTTAGGCAAGGCATTCCTGTGTCCTGCATATGCCATATCATTATGCAACATTCAGGACATCACAACATAGCATGTTTCTTGCGTTCAAACCCAAATATTTCTAATGAGAAAGATTGCGAACAACATGTTGCTGATTAAATTAATGTTAAAAACTAATCAATTATGTGATCCTTTTTAAGGGATACTACAAATCCTTCATGAGAATAATCACAATGATGCTCTATTACAATTCCATAAGCATAAGCAAGATTGTTGTAAACTTTCAACAAATAAGTTTCATTATATGCTCGTCAATTGCTTATACTGAACTATGCGAACATGACAAACAGCAACATGCAACTCTATTCAGTGACAAAATGCTTGTACTTACAAAGCTGAGTGTATTTTCATTGCCATTTTTTTGAACTAATGAGGGTGTTTTATTTGAAGATTTTAATTCTGTCTTACGCCATATTGAAAAATCACTATTGCTCTTTTTCTGTCAAGTAATGTCAATATTATTATAATTTATTTATAATTAATTGATTATAATTACCTAATTGAGTTACAATATAAGTAATTACTACTCACAGGCTTGTTTTCTACAATATATGGATCTGAGGGTGCATAATCCGTTATGCGACCCAACTTTTTTGGTTTATAAGTAGGAGCTTGGGAAACAACAGGCCTGAAATGAGAATAGGAATTGATCAGCATACAATTATACCACTGAAAATATTAATGTATATCATACTGAATATTAAAACACTGGAAACAGCATATATCCTATAAATACGTACAGGGGATCGAACAATTTAAAATTAAGAATGTATGCACAGCAAGGATAAGAACCATCTACAAATTAATGTACTTTTAGCAATAATGAGTGAGTGAAACCCAATTTTCAAAAAAACGTTCGGGCTGTGAGTCGTTAATTTTTTATACGTTGTCAATCAAATAAATTTAATATATGCATAGCAAGGATAAGACTTAAGTTTTGAAATAGAATTTCAGGCCGTGCAGTTAATTGTTTAATGTACTGTCAATCAAATAGATTGAAATCTACATATAAAGCAAAGATCAAAACAACACAAGCCTACCTTTCATCTTGGACATCATGTGGATCCGCATCATTATGTCGTTGTTCACTATCTAAAGATTAAAAATGATCTCATAGTTAAAAACAAAATATAAGTCATTGATGATGAAAAATTTTAAAAGACCAATATTCTTTCATTGTACCTTTCGTACAAATCACTCTCGGTCCCGGTACAAAGGCAGTTTCATGGAAGCGGCTCCAGGCTCCGCATCCAGCTCTACGCTCTGCTAGTACCGGCAATTGATTTGTATTAATTCTTAAGTATTAACTACTAATGATGGACATCGTGGCTACCTCTCATAGAGACATTGAAGTTAGTTATTGAATTGTACTTTTGTAATGAGTTGATGGCCTGTGTGATTGCATTGCAAGTTGAAATCTTGGGTTTAAATACCGTGCCCAGCACCTCACCCATGGTGTAATAAATTGGGTAGGTAGTGTCGAACTGGAAGGATTCTGGTTTTTCAGAACTAAAGTATCTCCTTACCTAGCAGTTGTGCTTGTGCAGAGCCTTGTTAAGAGCAAAAGGCATATGAATACATTGTATAAAGAATAATTTTGTTATACTAACCTTCATTTTCAAACTTATGAATCTGCTTGAACATATTTTTATACCATGCTTTTTGATTCTCTACAGTCTAAAAATAAATATTAATAATAATAATCTTTAATATTAATCATCATATTATTTATTGCATGGCTAAAAGAAAAAAATACAATACAAGAGAATACAAAAGATCAATATATTCGATTTCAAAACCAAATGAACTAGAATTCAAAAAATAAACGAAATCAAATATAAAATGTGTGTTCAAGAGGCACATGTTTATTTAATTAATAATAAAGAGGGTTATCTTAAGTTTTTCATACAACTCGAACCTCAGCATTCAAAATTTTATAAATAGGGGTATTCTCACAGTCAATATTCTCTTATGTTAAATTTAGATATATTGAAAAAGGGTTGAAATTAACATTTTTCAAAACCTAATAGAATGTCCCTCCGTTCAAAAGGCGAAAATAACATTCACATCCTATATTTTAGAAGTACAATAATCCTTTTGTTTGGGCATTGTTCACCCATTGTACTTCCAAAATATAATAGCTTCTTGCATATCAATGGCTGATTGTTCGGAGCTTTGTTTGGAGTGAATGTGTGAAAATGGAAAAGAATGGATAACTCATAAACAGAACATACACTTCTCAATGCTACAGGCAATCCTTGCTCATCAGTGGGCCCTATTCCACCATGATGCTCAGCCCTTATTATTGTTGTTTTTTTAGTTCTCTCTAATACTTTTTCTCCTCCTGGTGCAGGATAGTAAGTGTCAGTGTGAAGCATATTTCCTAAATGTATCAAAATAGAATTTGGACTAGGTATTTGTTACTGTTTAGTGTGAATTCTACCAATTAGCAGTAGTGGAATTTGCTCACAATATAAGTTCAATTGGAATCCATAATCCGCATAAAAGATGAAAAAAGTTGATAAAACAAAAATAAATGAAACTGATTACAGAATCAGGAGAATAAAAAAAAAACTTAAAAGCAAGTTTTAAAATGTACAGATTTTGATTGAAAGATGTTGTCAAAAGAAGTGGTACGTGTTCGCTCACCAAAAAATATCAAATTAGTCGAGTCAAGTTTATTTTTTCCAACTAGAAAAAAATCAGTTTTACACAAAATATGAAGAAAAAAGATAATCACACTTATCAACCGGGGAAGGGAAGCTGCGAGGAACCAAAATCACGGTGACGCAAAAAAATTAGAAGAAAAAAAATAATATATGAACAAATAAAGAATGAAAAAATAAAAATTTGAAAAACTAATAAATTACCTTCGATAGTTTGGGTTTCATACACAGCACCTTCTGGTAAATCTTTTTCTGATGTAACTCTAACATTTTCTGTAAAATTTAATTATGTACGATAGCATGAGATTGGCCTTATAAACATTGAATCCTTAGTCGATGCTGGCCACTAACTTCCAGGAAAACCGGCTTTGAAACTACTGGCAGACAAAGAACTATGTGGAAACATGGAAAATGAGGAAGATTCTCCTTAAATTATCAATCTACAAACAGTCAGTTTGTGATTACAAAACGAGAGCAAGTGAAATTTTCAAGTGAAATTGATTTTAAATTTTTGCATTTGCCCTTTTATCTTAAAACTTTGAAATATGGACCAACCTGATGTCTGTGGAAATTCTTTATTTGGTAAAGTGTATTGAGTTGTGGTTGTAGATTTTCCTGGGCCTTGTCCAGATTTCTGTAAGAATCATATAAAAAGATAAACATTTGAGTAAAAAACTATTCTGTCTGATGTTGCCACTAGTTTAAAATAATTTAATGCTGATAACAACCAACTTTTATACTTTTACTCATTTTATGAAAATGGACAAAAAGATTTGCTATATAGAAAATAGAAGAAATGGAAAAAAGAAGAAAAATAATATACAATCAAGATGTGCCGAGTATCCCGTAGAAGTGTAACTTGACGACCATTGATAGGAGATATTGTCCTTGATTGTGAAGTGTTCAATAACTCATTTTGCATCCTACAATGCTGTTTTGTTTTGTGATTCAAATCAGACTTCATAGTGTTCGGAATGGTATTCAATTTCTTTGAATCTGAGGTCGTTTTATTTACAGAACCATCATTGTGATTTGCTAGAGTTATATTCACAGTTGTTTTGTGGACCAACCCACTGTTGTTGTCATTCCGTGGCATGTTTTTCAAACTTTCGTAAGATGAATCCAAGCATGTAGGAATTAATCCGTTGATGTTGTGAATATTGTTGTTATTACAGTTAGCATTCAGAAGAAGTAAAGAAGAAGATAAACAAGGAGTAGAATACGTGTTTGAAATAGAATTCTAGAAAGGAACCAAGAAAGCAAAAGGTATCTTTTAGCAAGTGATAACTCATGAAGAACTTGGGAGAAGGAAATTGAAATTCATGAGTCAGTATAGAATACATAGTTGGAAAAGTTATTTTTACCCATGGACAATTTTTGTACAGTACATTTAAAAGAAGTATGAAATGGGAATATATAAAACTGTATAAGGTTACAGGCAACTATCACTATACCATAATAGGTTTATTCAAATGCTTCTGATAACTTTAAAAATTCACAGAGCATACTAGGCCACAGTAAAAAGTAATTTCAACATGCTATATTGTTGTAGATAGTTAAATACCAACCAAGAAATGGAATTCACTTGTAAAATGACATAATAAGACAGAAAAAACTTAAATCATAATATCAATCATCATTATTGTCTGACATCATTGTATATATCAAATATGCTCAGCTACGAATTATAACTAATCAATGATTTAAAATGAACTCTTCATTGCGATGACTAAAATCGACTTTTTCTTAAATTTATTTTCAATAACCCTCAACAGAGAAAAATACCATACATTTTTGATGATACCTAATATAGATGTAAAATTTTTTATTACTTTTGATACTGGTCTTGCAACACTTCTAAAACCAGTTAGTGCAGAGTTCTTTAATAAATCTGACTTGTCTTCTTTTGTGACACCATTTGTCTTACTATTGTTACCTGAAGTCCAAACACCTACACAAACATAAAATTTGATATGAAGATACCTCAACTAATCTAAAAGCAAATATGTTAAGTGGGCTACTGTCACCTGCATTAATAAATACGAATGAAACTTGATAGTGGCATATCTTTACTGAGTTGAGGAGAAAATAAAAACATTAGCTGAAACTCTTTGCCTACGAAATTCTCAAGGGAAATGTATAGTAATAGCTGTTGAATCATAGCCAATTTATGCAGAGTAACATACAATGTTCAAAAAATTTCATTATCTTAACGCGTTCAACTGGATAGATTGTGTGAAGTAATGAATTCATGACGTCAAACATATTAGCAACTCAAACAGTCGTCTGGGAATTGACAATAACCAGTCAGATATGCCACCGCTAAATGATTAAATGTCATATGTCCCATAGAACCAGAGGTGCGAATTGAAGTATCAGTCGATAGTAACTAAACGCCATAATTCAATTACGAAACATATTATGAAAATATGATCCTACAACATTATTATGTTCATGTATTTATGTGTGTATGCCTATTTTTAAGGAGCAAACAATCAAAAATATGTTGGATTTATTATCTCTAATACAATGATATATTAGAATTTTCGGTCTGGTAAAAGACGATGTCTTAATATGTGACGTGACTTAATGAACTGGAGGATTTCCGATGATTATCATACATTACTTACGAAAATTAGATGATGCTTTGTAGGCCGGAGGTATCAATGATGTGGGAGAATCACTCTGAAATTAAAATAATATTGGTCAACATTTGAATTTAAAAGAGAGGTATTTTGAATGCCATGGAGTGTGATGCTAAGAAGTGATGTGTTGCACAATTAAGGACATATAATAATATTTTAACATAAACATTCTAAAAGGGTTTAATAATTATCATGGGCTTTAAATATTAGAAATTCAGATGGGGCAATTATAGCCTGACACTTGAAATTGACTAAAATGTACTGTTAACTGCCTATGTTTTTTCATATGCATCAAGCTAACAACTACCCATAAGTAAGTGTATCAAAAAATATAAAAGTGACTTACATTGTCAGGTGGAGGAGATTCGACTGAATAGGATGCTAAGTCTTCTTCAGATGGTGGAGGTGGCAAAGGAGGGCAAACAAAATCTTCTTCTCCAGGTTTATCTACTATAAAATAAGATGTTGTTCCAAACAAGCACGATATAAGTCACGAACTAGCTGCATGGATATAAGTGACCACAATTATAAATAAAGCATGCACATGCAATGATATTACTCGTGATTAATATCAAGCAACACCTTTCAGATGATACTTTCATGCAAATTTCAAATATGTGGGTCAAACTCAACATTGGACAATTTTAAAAACACACCATTATTTATCAATTATAACATCATTCAATGAATTTGGTTATCTTTACTTGGTTTATCTGAAACTGCTTGAATATCCACGTTTTTATTCAATGTTATGTGACAATTCTTAAAACACAGTTCTGAGGATTCCAACACTTGTTCAATATCATCATCAGTATATGGACGTTCTTCATCATTATCACTGACTTTGTTGGGGTTTGTTCCAATATTTATGCTACTTAAAAAGTTTGCTAGTTCTGCCAGGCTTTCATATCCTTCATCACTAGAGTCATGTAGTATCCTTTCATCTGACTTCATTAGACCATGTCTCACGAATTTTTGAATTATGGGTTCATGAACTAAAGCAACTCGTTTTGGTTCAAGCTTCTGCACTAGCATATCACGCACAGAATTACCTCGGATGCTGAGAAATGAATCCTTTGGTGATATACTCTGAACTGCAACATTTTGGTCTTTTCTCGTTGTATTTTTGTGTTTATTTCTATTAATATTCGCAGAGAAATGAACAGATTTGATCCTTGGTTTATGCGGAGTGAGTGAAAACGGCTTTGGTGAATTAAGAACTGTTCCAATATAAAAATAGATGAAACTGTTATTCCTCCCATCTATTATATCTGGTTTTATCAAACAGATCAAAACTCACCAGCAAAGGTTCGTCGACTTTTCTTTTCCTCAGTGTTCATATTCTACTTTTTTTCTATACCATATCCGTTAATTAACTCATAAGTTCCATTATACATCAAGAAATGGTAAATATGGTTGGCAATTATACTTCAAACTAATTAGCCCGCTCTTTACTTAGCTTTCATACTTTGCTCTCTGTCAAACGGCGCAGAAATTGCAGCCTGGGTATTGAATATCACTTGTCACTCACATGTCTCCAAAACTGTGCAATTTAAACTGATTCTACTGACATATGGCTGTATATCTGTTTATTTTGTATACTCACAAATCAGCTATTTCATAAAACATGCACGACACAGGATGTAATTAGCTCATGATAACGTTCATGATTTCCTTTTACGACAATTATTGCTCACTCATTGCAACACTCAATGCAGCATAATGACAATTTATTCAGAATTACAGATTGTCATGAATACTAATCATGAATAAAACTTGACAAATTTGTGAAGCGTATTAATATAAATTATATTACAATATCATGTGTGATAACATGAACATCCTCTTTACAGAACTTTTGACTATGGCATCATCCGCCAATAAAGATTTGCCTTAGAATATAAATTGGAGGATGACAACCAATTTCCGAGCACTACAAAAATTACTTGAGGTATCAACAAGCATAGTTAATACTATCTATTTGATACAACTGGTAACGATTTTTATACTACATCATAATGGTTACTATGGTGATGATGACATGCAACAACACAGTATACACCAGATTGTGTGGTTTTGATGCATTACAAGTTTTACACCTAAGATTTTACTATGCACTAGTCATACATGATTCCATGAAAACAATTACATTCAAATTACCAGAATTATTTGTCTGCAATATGTAATTGTTATTAGATTCCTTGTAGTTTTTATATTGAAGATCAGTCTTCATATTCGAATTGTCATCAAAACAATCTCTTTCCATTTTATTTACTGTATCTTGTAAATCATGCAAAATATCGTCTAACTCTTTTTCCCTTCTCATTTCAAAAGTCGACGTTTGCATTGTTTTTTTTTCCATAATATTGAAAATTACACTGCTGCATTGAAATTTTTTGTCTGAGTCGAATAGAGCTACGGTACAAATAATGCACTATTTCAGCAAGATAATTAACTTTCTTATAAATCAGCAAAAATGTAATTGAACACACCAATTCAATTGCCCTACCAAAGTCTAGTGGCATTTAAAATCCTACACAACTTATATATGTGTTCTGTTTGGGTGGACATGAATAGACCATGTTTTCTTTATTTAAATATTTTATCTGCCATTAAAGGCATTGTCCATAATGGTACTATAAAATTTTTATGATGGCTTCTAAATTGAATGGAAAATGTTTTCATTTTGTCAGAGGACAGTGATACAGCAAATAAAAATACAGGGGTATTATAAAACAAATGACATGTCCACATTATAATATTTACTGACCTGTTTCTTTATATGACATGGATTGATCTGCATCATAGTTAATTGGCATTAGCGGAACAGGTGGGGGCAATTCATGACTAGATATCGATTTACTTTGAATATTTTCTTTGCTGGCTGTTGATTGTATCTTTCTTTCTGTAATTTGTCTATCACCAGATAGACCATATCCTTGTCTTGTAGTTGGTGATCTAACACTTCGATGACCTCCGGTCAATTTGAAATTGGAAATAGTGCTCATGTATTTAGAATTGGAAGCCTTCCCAGAAGGTTGACTCAATTTTCCTCTTTCAGGTTGTTGTTTCTCAATGCCCTCTTCAAATAGGGCTCGCTTTTGTTTAAAATTGTCTTGTACACTGAACTTTTTTTTCTCAATAGACCATTTTGTTAATTGATGTAATTTTTCATCTGTAACTGATTGATGAGACACCTTTGATGGATTTTTATTTTCCAATCTATCTTCAGATCTGGACTCATCTTTATTTTTTGAAATCTCAGAATTTACAGTTGATGCAGACTCAATTTTTGAGTCTATTCTTGAGCTTACAGCATGTAGAATATCAGGGCTCGAGGGTAACTCTTGGTCATACTTGTAATGGCTTTGTGAAGTAGGCACTTCAGTTACTCCAGTGCTCTCATGCAGATCAGTGACAACACTAGAGTCGTCTGTTGCGACAGATTTCACCGTTTCAATTTTTATATCATTTTCAATTAAAATTTCACTTTGTGCCAGGCAATTATCTGCAGGTACATGCGTTTTGGTATCAGAATGGCCACTGTTCAAGTTCATTGACTGAACTCCTTCAGTTACTCCAGTGCTCTCATGCAGATCAGTGACAACACTAGAGTCGTCTGTTGCAACGAATTTCCCCGTTTCAATTTTTATATCATTTTTAGTTAAAATTTCACTTTGTGGCAGGCAATTATCTGCAGGTACATCAGATTTGGTATCAGAATTGGCACTGTTCAAGTTCATTGACTGAAAAAAAATTTCTCTTGCACTTTTCATAGATGTACTTGACTCTTTTCTAACATTCTTTGCCAGCGCATGTTCAGTTGTTGTAGCTTGCCTTTCCGTTATCTCTAAATCATAGTCTTCTTTAACTGACTCATTAATAGTATCAGAAATGTTTTTGTCCATCTTTTTTGAATCGTTGCTTGTTTTTACATCATCTTTTAGACTGGCTAGTTCAAAGCAATCTGTTGTTAGAACAATTGAATTCGATATTACTTCATTATTTATTTCTTCATTGTCCTTTGTATTGTACATAACATCTTCATCAATCTCAGGAAATTTATCACGATTTTCTTGACTATTGATAGTTCTGTCCATAACCTCTGATCCAGATTGCACAAGTTCTTGTTGACCATTGATGGTAGATGTTGACTGTACAAATGCTGTGTTGTCATTTGATTTAATTGGGCCAGTGTTTGGGTGTTCTTTAACTTGATCAGATGAAATATTCTCTTCGTTGTCACATGCATTGTTGTCATTTGAACTACTTAGCAAGTCTGAAATCGATGTTGTAATGTCTTCTGGAGGCACTCTCTCATCAGTAAGACAATCTGAAACTTTGTGAAGCCCATTTTCTCTTAAAATATCTGAAGATTTTGTTTTTCCGTCTTGACTCTGCGGAACCAGTTGAATATTAGATATATTTTCAGAAGAATCAACTGCTTGATCCTTCAAGTCGTCACAAATTTGATTCTTTTTTTCTTCATCCCATAATTTAGATTGCAGACCTGTTTGGTTTGCTGGCACAAACACTGAATTATCACTTTTCACAACTGTTTTATATTCACTGGAAACTTCATTTAAAAATCTATCATCAATTTCTTCATTGCATGTTACGACTCCAGCAGCAGAATTCCCAGCATTGAATACATCAAGATTTTTATCATCTATAAAGGAAGAAGAAGACTCTAATGTGTAGTCTCCCTCATTAGCACTTAAGTTATCACTACTTGACTCATATAACTGCTGAGAACCGGAGTCGGGTATACTTCCACCAGGTTCTGAAACGGATGTTGAGTTCTTGAGTTCTATTTTATCGAGTTTTTCATTTTTTTCTTCGGGTGACAAATCTGCAGTTAACTCATTCCGGTCGTTCTTCCCTCGCTCCAGTTGTGGCTCATCTAAATAACTGTTGTTGGCAGATAAAAAATCTTCAAATATATCATCATGTAGCATATCAGTTGAAGATACAGAATTCAAAAAGCCAGGTGAAGATAAAATAGACTTCTCCTCAATATCCAATATCTCATCAAAGCTTGCTGAGAAGGGATCTTCTGATTCAATCGGAGAGTTAAGTTGGTGAAGAATGCCAGGACCACTACAGACTTGCTTTTCTTTATTAATGACAGGTTTTTGTTTGAAATATACCCCTGCGTTTTGTATTTCTTTTTCTTGTATGACACTTACAAACTCTAATATGTTCAGATGTTCATCTCGCTGTTGTTGGATGAATTCCTGATACTCTCTTGCATCCATCTTCTATGTAGTTTTTTTATTATTTTGAATGCTTACAATTCAACTTTTATTGTATACATCGTCTTAAATTTTATTCAAAGATTTATATAACTATACCAAACCAACACTAAACTTGATGATAATTAGCAAAATATGAAGATGATATTATCTACTGAATCATATCTATCCACATATATGAAGGTAAATGTTAGTGACATGCACATTGCACAAATCGAATAATATTATAAGTCAAACTGTGATACAATGCCCAATACAATGATTGTCTATGTTCTGCTCTAACATTAAACACTTTATCTCTAATTGAGAAGTTACAGTAGAAGTTAATTTATCCATCATATTTCTGGACTGAAAATAGTATTTTCCTGTCTCAACTTCTAACAATTTCACTGATAAAGGAAAGGTAATGATGCACAAGGTGAAGTTTACTTCAAACATCAATGAATACTGCTATAAGTAACATACAACAGCAAAACAAGACAATAATTGTCTGGCAATACGCACTGAGCATGCACAGTTCTTAAAATATTACCAAAAAGATAAGAATATTGTACCATAACTGACTATTCACACACCCTGCTTCTGTCCAGGGTACTCCTGTTAGTCAGCACACAAGATTAACAAGCATCGCCACTTCAGCATGAGAGGGCATCTGAAATGTAGGTTTAATACAAGCACATACAGCACTCAGGCATGCAGCATAAATTATTCAACAGTTTAAAACACTTCAGTGCAAGCATTTTAACAAAATTGCTACATAAGCAGAGAACTACGTATATCTTGTGTGTCCAATTAAGGCCCACCTCATCTAGTTAGCGATTAACAGGCATGCATTGTATACATCTTTTATCTTTACTCGGTAAATATAAATATCTTCTATAAATGGTGCTAATCTACAACACGTTCCTGCTGTGACAGCATATTGAATCAGCCTAATAATTACACACATGCTCTATGTCAACTTATATTTTCAAAAGTCATTGTTATACAATTAATGTAAGAGTAGGTGCGATGGATTATTCTTTCACAAACAGAAGAGTGTTTATTTTATTAACTTACCAAACGTTGCTGGAGGTGGTGGTTCCATATCACCTTGAAACATACTGTCAAATAAAATAAAGAATTCATCATATTCGAGCACATAGCTGAAGTGTAAGTTTACTTATCTTAAGTACATACTATAAGTGGACTAAATCCTAGTTTGATTATAGAACTGTTTTAGGTAAAAATGTTTCCAACAATTCTGTGTCCTACTCGCCATTATCTAGTCATTCATGTTGCAAAAAAGTTATAGATAACTCAAGTTTGGGTACTGTCTATTCCAATGAGAAAAGCTAAAATTAATGTTTCGACCATAATGCATCTAGTAATGCATCACCAGTAATAAAATACTTGGTGTGATCATCAAGAAAAGAATGATATGTTGAATGTGCTTGACAAGAGCTTTGTTCATAATAAATAGTAAAAATTACTACCGTCTCTGGATGAATAATTAAATATGAGATACAAGTTTCACCTTACATATCAATTACTTGTTCTATTTGTTTTAAATGCAGTTCCATTCACACATTTACCTTGTACCTACAATGACAATTGGGAATTTACCAATAATTTGGGTCCAACTTCAATTCACAATCTAATGTCAATTTGGTAAATCAAATAACATTTGCTTGTCTGAAAGATACCCACAAGAAAATGATCAGTTGGTCATAATGGGAATCGTATTATACATGACAGATTCATACTTTGTCTATTGTAACTTTTATATTTTCAAAATATAAATAGTCCCATTCGTACAACCCCTACTCCAAAAATTTCTTTTGTTGATTGCGTTTAGATATTTTTATGACCGTAGAACTACCTGGTGATACAAAACTACAAAACTAATTATTCAAAGTAAGAATATGAAAGTTTGGTGCATATATAAATATTTGTATCCCATAACCCCACAACATGGTATATATATATATAAATATTTTTCTACCTGACTACAAAAGTTTGAAATGATTATCGTGTGCAGATTGAGTACTTCAATTTTGTCGAATGCGAATTGAAATTTTCACATAGTGGAGCATTGGAACTCTAACATTGCTTAATCAATAGGTAGTTCATAACAACTTTAAGCTTTAACTGTAGTCTATCAAAAAAGTGACCAAATTATCAATTTGGATTCACTTTTGCAGTTTTATCAGAAGCATCTTCAACTCAAATCATGACTGCATGAAGCAGTTAATAGCAATACTTGTAATTCAAAAATAATTGAGTTATACCAACTCAATATTATGACTATCATACAATCACATACTACATACAGACATAAACTGATGAGTTTATGTATAAAATAGCTGTAAAAATCTATAAAGTACCTACGTTCAGATAATATTACCTTATAACTTTGTAGCTTCTGAACGGTCAAATTGAATTTCTCCACTTTAAATGTCACATATACGTAATCCACTACCTTTCAGTTTGTATTAAAATACGGATATACCACTATAGCACATCTAAATTGAACAAATATGATACTCGAGATAAATTTTGCTGGAAACAATAGTCGACCTTTCCCCGAGGCACATAATTCCGAATAAAAATTAAAGTCTCATATCACGTAATTGTTACTTTCCTACGTAATAATCCATTCTATTATACCATGGGGTATTTACCTTTCCTTCCCAGCGACAATGCAAACAACCACATCATCACGCTTACCCACACATAAACGCGGACAAGATCTCAATTGAATAACTACTTGTCGCTACAAGATTACAATATGTCATATTTCTGTATTCAAACAATCTACGCAATATTCCACATTTGATGTGTATAGAATGATAAATGATTTATATCCAAATTACCCATTGATACGCAAAGGTCCTAATAACTACGACGGATGCAAAAACATTGAAGTTGACGCTCTCTCCTTTTTGCACATTCCTTCGAACGACATACCATTCAGACTTCAACGAACTATGCGAGACGTAACGGAATTTTGATTGCATCTGAGGTATTCCCTTAGTTTACTCTAACTTGTTGAAAAGAAGTCTATAAACCATATATGGCGCGCGAATGACGTCTTTAGTTTAGATACCATATCTATTGCGCACTACAAGACTGGTCAAGCGAATAAAAACCTCATAGATAAAGATAAACCTTCTCGACAAAGAGTGGACCAAAACGTCGCTGCATTTTGCGCTATTATTCAGTATCAATTCGTTATCGCCTTCATTGTCCCAATTCTTCTTTCGCGCTACCTAAACCTAATTATGCTTGATTAATTCGATATAACTAAATATGCCTCATTACCGCTTACATAATATGGCATCGCGGTCTAGGCAAATTGACCTTATAGTGTCATTCTAATTTGCACTACGATTATTAATGCGTGTCATTCGTTGTCAAGGTTATGTAAATTTTATGATGCAGTTAAAAAAATCGTGTGGTTTTATCGAAAAACCAAGTGTTTGTTTTATTTTGCAGGAAAATATTCGATTTATAGTTCTACATTTGAAACTTACATATATACACATTATCTGAGAATATTAATATCATTTTATGCAATTTTCAAAACGAGGATAGAATATAACAATCCCTTTCTTTCAACCTAGTACAGTGTATTCTGCAAATTCCACCCACGCCGCTCTTTATTAAGTAAGCAAAAGTCACGATAGCAAATAACTGAAAAATTGAAAAGTAGACAGCAACTACAAAGAATTCTGTAACAACGCAAAACACTTAGTAGTACGGTAGTTACAATATTTCACAAGGATAGTTTCTCGAATTATTTTAATGTTTTTAACATGTAAAGACAATGCGAAATATAACCCAATGAGAAATGTCTAGTTTAAAATAACAATACAGGTATGTCAATTTAGTGTAATACCGTGTTTCCCCGAAAATAAGACCTAGCCTGAATTTTTAGAATGATATTAATATAGGCCCTCCCCTTAAAATAAGACCTAGTCCAATAACGTGATTTTTTTGACCTAGTCGATAGCAAGAACTCACACCTACACGTTTTAAATGATTGATAATAGTCTATGTTTTGCAGTTATTTTGAATAAAAACGTGTTATTTATAAGTAAATAAATATCGGTTTTCATATTTTGTATATTTGAAAATCTCGTATTTCTCTACTTTTTAAATTTGTTTTTGATAAATGAAAATATATGACATCACACGAAAAAAAGCCCTAGTGTTATTTTTCGAAAGAAAATAGAAACAAGACCCTGTCTTATTTTCAGGGAAACACGGCAGAGGTGCAGATTATCTGTTGTTTGCCTCTTGTCACATTTCTCAATTCCGGTGTTGATGTTTTCGTGAACGAGATATTTACTTGTAATAACTACAAAGTGAAGAGTACGAAACGTCACACGACGTGTTAATCAAATTTATCGCCACCTTGACTGATTAAGAAACATTAGCGAAGACCAGTGGTTCTCGAGATTTTTATTCGTAAAAGTCGCAGAGATCTATGTCACAATCTCCTCGTAATATAAAGCTATTGAATACTTGAGGTTGAGAGTCATTTTTAAAAGCTATATAATATATATATATATATATACAGTATATATACATATTTATTCTTATGACTGATATGTCCGTTAATAGCGATTGACCAGGGGCCCAACACAATTCAATCTTTGAACATTGTCAAGGAAACAGCTGGGTGGAAGGAAATTCCACAAAGAGATGGTTGCTTTTTACGGGAAACAAAAGCTGAAATATCAGGACTAATGAATTACATTGGTATATCTATAAAATCTTGTTAGTCAAGCTATATGGTTAGTAGAGATTATATATACTTAGGGTTACCATATTTTTTTGACTTCAAAGCGGGACGCCTCCAAAGACACGACCCCTTAGCTGTGATCCTGTAACTTTACAGTTTCAGATTTTACTACGTAGGCCTACATTTAAAGCCATACCGGCAGCCTTCATTGACCATATTGTCTTCGAGAGTTCATGCGGATATTCTCTGACTAAATATCGGGTTCAGTTCGAAAAATAGAAAGTAATATACGCTAATGATACAAAGATCCGAATTTAGATTTTATTTTTTTATGTTCAGCAAACGGAATAAAGAATAATGAATTAGTCAGCTGTTTTCAAGCAATGAGAATTTACTTATTGGCCCAAGCATGCTTTTCTGTAGATAACAACGTCAAAATGACGTTGTTCAATGTCACATTCACGTGAACGTCCGAACAGGACCAATTAGAATTGATTTTACATGTGATACGTTCGCTAACAATGTTAGCGGAAAACAACGAAACAAACAAAATAACTCATTCACCTTCAGTAAGTAGGCTAGATTTGCGCTACACAGCAACAACAGTAACGAGAACATGTTCGTGTATTATGATATATGGTTGAACGCCAAAGCGGGACTTTTGGCTGACTTGTCGGGACGACGGGATAAGACGCTAAAAAGCGAGACTGTCCCGCATAAACGGGACGTATGGTAAGCCTATATATACTGCAAAGATAAAGACACATACAAAATATTCTTCGTAGTATTGCTGTTTTGAATCATACACAAAGAACACTACAATAAAAATTATCATTTTGTTATATAAAATTAAGTCATATATTAAAGTTGAATGAACTGATTTATTTGTATACCAAAAGCCACCCAACTACGGATCCGGGCACCGCACTTTTCTTTGGAAAATGAAAGTTTAATTGGAGAAATCTGCTGATGCAATTAACTTTATTTGACCCCGATCCTTTGGAATGTATGCAGTGCTACTAAGCTGTGCACGATTTATGACGAAAGGATATTTAACTCGTGTCTCTACTGCCGCAAGCTGCCGTATACCGTTAAATGGATAAGGGCCATTCCAAGCAAAAGTTGAATTCCATCAATTTTTTAAAAAGTGTAATGAAAGTAATTTTTTCTTATTTCTGATATCAAAAGACATTGGAATTTTATTGGACTGCATTCATTTCATCGAACAATTTAAAATTTCACCCAGGTTTTCGATGGTTTATAAAAAATGGCCTGAAATGTAGAAATTTTGGTATAATTGACATATTTCGTGATGATTCCTGACACAAAGTGTTTGATTGTGTGGTACAGTTATTTCATATGGAATTGACGCACTGGATTTAAGTTAATAAAGTTTAAATGTTTGCAGTGCTGTAGGACATTTCTTCACCCATTTAACGATTTATTACCAGAATTTTAGGAGATGATAGAGGCCGCTGGTTCCATTACATTTGAACCCACGTACATTTGAACTCATGACAATTGCACCTGTATGCTATTGCACCTATGAATTTTTTTTTTGTTTCACGGATAGTTAAACCCATACTAACCCTAACCCATGGGTTTTAGCACCCGCATATAGATTGAACCCGTGGATATACGCATGGGTTCAAATGTACATGGGTTCAAATGTACGGTCACCGAGGCCGCTATTTCGAAGTGGAAAAATGTCCTGTAGTGTCACATACAATATGTACATTATTGGCATGGATTTACAGTGTTACATTAAGTAACTTGAGCAACACATAGAGGGGTAGTTCAGCTACTGCACCAGAAAATATTATGGGCTCCTATACCGTACCATCGCAAAAATTTACAGCACAACACAACGTACTGTTAGTGCATAGTGGATTTGCCGTCCTGTAGTGTCACGCTATATTTTACTATATTTTTTTTATCTACTAAGTAAGTCTTGGGTGTAACTTTTGTGCAATTTTTTACATATTCAATAAAGCAACTGATTGGACAATGAAACAAAACATGCGGCTGAAAATATATTGCATCCAACAACTTGCAAAATTTCTGGAATTGTCCTGTAGTGTCACTTGGAATAGCCCATAAAGACGAGGATGGTTGACGTTACTATTAAGTAAGCCATCCCTGAACGCAGACGATTCAACGTATCGCTCGACGCGCGACTTGATTAATTGATACAGCATCACTAACTACCATCCATCCCAAAAATTACATTTTATATTAGATTTCGATTATCATGATCAGGAATAAATTCATGGCGGTAATCTTAATTGGGTTCCTTCGAAACCGACGGTGGGTGGCACATTTCACACGATGTTGTGTTTCCGTTGGTAACGTTGCATAGCATACTGAATATACCCCTTGTCCATACGTTTCAGTCCCTCTACACAACTTGATGTAAAATTGGCAAACAAAATTAGTTCTATTACGAGTTCGGGACAGTCTGTGTTAGCCAAGTGAATATACCCCGTCCACACGTTTCAGTCCCATTACACAACTTGATGTAAATTGGCAAACAAAATTAGTTACCTTCACACTGATACACATACTTCTGATGCGCCTATTTTTTCACCATCCTCCACATGGAATCGGTAATTTGGGTTGCAACGTAAAACATCGATGTATTCATAGCACAATTCGTGTAGAATTCTATAGAGAAAATTTGCGAAACCGATATGAAGATGTTCACCGACTGAATATCACGTCACGCTAACTAAAACAAATATGCGAGTAAAACAAAATTAACCCCAAAGAACGTTATCGACGCCGATCGGACCAAAAATTGCGCTTTGATGAGCACTGCTTCGACCTCGAACTCCATTGATCATTTACAGCCATTCCTGTTTATATATACTTTCAATGGCATGTGATTATAAAACTTTGAACTAAAATCTTATATGGCGCTTCGTAGATATTTATTCATCTCAAATTATACTCATGCTTATATTAAAGTCCATCTCCACTTTATAGATTTTGCTGGGCTTAAAATCTTTTGTATTATGTTTTTATTTTTGTCATTTTGAAAAGCTCAAGTTCGTCTTGCGTCCATTGCCACGTTGAATCGTTCTAAACGACTCGGTGCCGTGGATTTAAATTCGTAACAACCAGTTCCGATCTGTGCGAAAAGAGAATTTGTGAATGGACACACCAAATACTTCTGAGTGGTCGCTTGCGCAAAGAGGAAAGTGGATGAACATCCTATACTTTTATTTGCTAGTGCATTAACTAGCATGGTCTTATTGTCTTTCCACTTCTTGGGGATAAAATGGAAAACCTAACCTATCTACATCTGTTTCAGGGTTTAAATATGTATACAGTAGTTGTCTGCGCATCAATGGTAGACTCTTCTAAGAGCTCTATTAAAATTATATTTCGGTGCTTAAATTATTTCGTACTAATCTATTATGAGTGCCTCATACTGACAAAATTTTTTTCTTGTCACCAATACCCACAGGTACATGAAGGAATCAAACAAGTTCCGACCTTAAATCTGGGTATTAGATTGAAAAGAAAGTAAACAACGAACCATGTTAACCACAGGAATAACCGCCTCCATTTTGTGTATGAGTATAAACTGTATATGAGATTAAAACATCTTTTGATGATTATTTCACATGTTGTTTTAATGTTTATGAAAAAAGTGAAAATATCTGAAAAAAATTAATATTAATATAATCTTTTACAATTTCATGATATTATGAAGGAAACTTGATGAAAATGGCATTACATTAAAACTGACAGAGTATGTACAGTACAGTATAAAAGAAAACGAAACAGATTTCCATATGTATCATTGGCAAAATTTTGTAATGATGGTGTATATATAAACACAGAGAATATTGGTGATCTTGCAGTAAACTTCAGGAAGAAAACAAGCATTACATACATAGGATAGGTAATTTATAATAGGGATGGAAGGCACAAGTCAAATTGTTAACGATCATTTCAAATCTTTTTGTTTATAAAAACTTACACAAATAGCAGACTACAAGATTGAAGATATCTAAAAATCACGCTGATCCGAGGCAGCGATTTTATAAAAATAATAAATATAAGGCATAAAGAGTGAAAAAATAATTCACAAATGCTAATAAAAGTTACTTAAATAACTGATGAGTAAAAATAAAATAAGTTTTTCCACAATTCAGTAATTCATGAGCATACCATCTTGGTGCTTTAGCTCAAATACCACTTATTCAAACTAGGTTGTAGCATTTGAATTTTACTGTTTTGGAAAATTCATGTAGTTACATTCAAACTTCTATTTTGTGAGAATTTCGATTTCTTTCCGTTGTGTTTGAACTGTTAGATGATGAAAGAGATACTGTTGACCCAACCATTGGTATCATCTCACTGTGCATCTGTTGTAATTCAGGCTTTTCCTTTGTTAGTAGCGGCAAGTGATGATGACGTGCAGACGCTACAGTTACTGGACGATAAGGAACGCCCATTCCCATTTCAGGGTTGGCTTGGTATTGCCTGGGACTAGAAGGTGGATTTAGTCTTTGCTCGTCGTGACCAAAAAACTGACCAGAATTTTCATCCCTATTGTCATGGCGAGAAGCAGATGGACTGTGTGGATAGTGTGGACTATGTTCATAATAGGGATATACATTCCCATGCATATTTTTATTTTGATATGGGGATTTCATATGAGGGCTCATTTTGTGACTACCTGTACTGATATCTGAACCAGGTGAGGCAAAAGGTGGCGTTCTGAGATTTTGATCTGAAAAAATGTCATGTGGTGGCAAGCGCTGATTTGTACTTTGAGGGGATAGGTTTGGAGAATGTGGCATTACATTTTGCAGAGCACTGTCCTGTCTCTCCAGCATTTCTTCTTCAATCCTACCCTCATTGTCAAAAGTTGTGACACGATGTGCACTACTGCTACTGACAGAAGAAGGGACTCGTTCTCTGCTAGTTGGACTTGTGGGTAAACTACTTGATGTCGTGCTAGACGCTGGGGCACTTGCCTGGAGTGGTGATTCATGCGACATCTGAGTATTATCAAGGCTTTGACGTCTTGCGTCTGGAGAGTCAACTTCATCTCTGTTGTTGCTACTATTGTAGGCTGGAGGCATGTGTACTCCTTTCATTGCCAAGTTTGATAGTCTAAAATAAAAATTTGATAACTTTAAGTTCGGTAATCACAGTGAAATTACAACAAAAGATTGTGAGACGCAGTTTCAGGATTTCTTATGATTATAAATTGAAAATAAAACGCAAAAGTGGATGCTATTACAAGGAATTATTAGAAAATTTAATTTTATGTTTTCTCATGAATCTGAAGCTAGCTATAATCATGCTATGAATGGAATAAACATTGATGCAAGTCTTCCATTTCCAATGTCTGGGGGAACAGTTTATTTTAAATTTTCTCTCTTCACGACAATGACAAAAAATAAAAAAATTTAATTAATACCCTACCTTTCATCAAGTGGAATGGCTGGTCTTTTCAAATCCCGTGAAGCAAGTGATGATGCACTTGATGACATAGAGCTGAGAAAAGATTAAATTTTATTTATTATTAATCTTCATTTTAGTTCTTGCTTAGATTGGTGTTTATTGAAAAACCAGTCATATGCTGATATGCATCCAAGTCCAAGTTGAGTAAAACTTGCTATGCCAAACAATTTTTTTGAAAATTTAAAAAAGAGTATTTTCAAGCTAATATCGTTTTGTTTTGCACAATTTTGAAAAAAAATAAATATTAGCTTTGATTATTTGACTATATTCAGGCAAGAAGATCTTCCTTTTTCTGCTATTTCGGAGGAAGATGACTATGAGAAAACATTAAATACTACTACTACTAATAAGCATTACTGCAAAACGGGTATTGGATAGTCAGATATGAGCAAGCAATAAACATTAAAACATTCTTATCTACAGGTCATTATATTTAGTATGTCAACAGGTCTGTATGACAATTGAGGATTGGTATATGCTTGGTCCGTTGCTATGTCTGCGAGAATTATAATATTTTTAAATATAATTACGGTAATAGTTTTATTTAGGAAATTGCCAAGTAACAAATTAAAATTGGCATCGAAAGTCAACAAATCTATATGTTTCACAAGAGCAATAAATGAAGAAATGATTGAAACAATGATCAGACACAAAATCACATTGATTTATTATTTTCATGGTTGAAGATAACTCACTTTTGGCCTGATGACTTCAACTCATTTATTCTCCTTGAACCTTTAATATTTTCCAAGTCACTTCCGGAATGTTGCGGATCGTCTGTAATATAATGTTGAAAAAAATCAAAGTTCTCATACCGGTAACTTAGTAAAAACTCATTAATGCAATGTGAAAAAAAAAATAATACCAGAGTGACCAATAGCAACTCCTTTTCTTCTGCGTCGTCTGCCATTGGGTCTTGCATCTGCTTGCTGCCGACTGGATGCCGCAAGAGCCTAAATTATTTTTTATAAAATACATCAGTTTTTTACTCAATACTATGAAAGGGCTCCAGAAGTGTGTGTACCAATATGGAGGTACCTGATTTTGTTTGCCTATTTCACATCAAGTTGTGGGACTGGAACCTATGGGCAGGGGATGAACTCATAATAGAACTAAAATAAGGAAAATCAGAATAAAATTATGGACTAACCCTAACATCGTAACATGATGCATACAATGCGGACGGGAGTACTCTGTAAAAGACTAGTCTACTTACTTCTTCATGTCTCAGGTGATATCCAGTATGGGCAGGTGGCTCTTGAACAAGAGGCTGCGATTCTGCAAAAGTTATTACGAAAATATAAACAGATAAGTTTGTTCAAAACAGTTTAAATTTTAGCAAAAGCGAAGCCATGATTTTTGATTTTTCGTACAGAAGTTTGCACAGAACAAGCTCTCAAGCCCTTATTTGAAAAGAAGAAAGTATAGATCAAAGAGTTGCTATGAGCTATATGTGGTTTTATCCTTACAGTGATGATGTCAGTAGACAGTGGTAATCCTTGTTGTCAAGAGGTTTAAGCCAAATTGGGAATAATTTTGAGTTCTTATTTTTATTATAAACTGCTATCAATATTGTGACCGACATAAGTACCTTGTCCTGGCAATATGACATCATCATATGTTTGTGGTCTCTGAGCAAAGGAAAGTGCTCCTCGAGGTTCAGACAGATTAGTTGAGCGATAATTGGTTAGTTGAATATCCCTGCTGGTTGCTTCATCTCCCAGTATCCCTGCTGTGTTAGAATTAGAAATCTGCCTCTCTGGAATACTATCGGCAGGTCTTCCGCCTGCATGGCCATTCCTTTCAATTAGCTCCTTTCTCAAGTGGCTACGGCTTTTTCTGTTATATTTAAATATTATATCAGTTCAAAGTTTAATATACTGCATTCGTCATGCTCAGAGATAAGCCGACTAATCATCGGAAGTAATAACAAGATGAAAGCACTTACTTGAACTTGCAGTACACGACATAGCAAATGAAGATAACAAGGAGTAATGCAATACAAACTCCCATTATTGCTATAGTTTGTTGATGATATCGTGCTTCAATGATATCTAAAATTATGAAATGAAATAGTCATCAGTGACAAATTCAATAAGCATTAACATTTTGAGAGTTCACTACCTTGACAAAATTACTTTTGACATAGATAACAGCAAATTGATATGATAAATATATTATAGAATAACATAAACAACAATGATGAAGCAAACATACATTGCCCCAATAAACGTACCAAAGGCTTGCAAGCTACTAATCAATCAATAAACCAGAGAAAATATTTTAGCAAAACATAATGTATATGTTCAAAAGAGATGAATCCTGGAATGAACATCAGTACCAAGTGATAGAAATTGTTTCACACATACTTATGTTACTTCTTGGCATGAGAGGAACTTTTTTTTCATCGCACCTCTGTCCCTGATATTTAGGATCACATCTGTATTTTAACAAATTAATTTGATTTAATTGTTCGATCATCACTTTCAACATGCATATTTTTTTATTGTAAAAACTACGATAAGTTATAAGAAATAACAAATCTCAATTTTGACTGTCTGGTATGATGCATCATAGAAAAAAGAATGAAAGGTATGATTGAAAGAGAGTCAGTCAGTCACAAATGCATGATAATACAAAACAAGCCTTTGGTTCGTTAAAAGCGGCAACGGCATGCAAGCAAAACCCTTTGTTTTCCAATAAAACAAAGATCACAAATAATGAATAAACCCATTCAGAAACTGCACTTCATTGAAATTGAGTGTCCACAAGTACAACAAAAATGTCCAAATAGTTTCAAAAAAACGTGCTTAGAAATGATCATTGTCGTATCAAATAAATGACTGAAATTACAGCTTCGGTCATAATATGAAGAATTTTTGAAATCTCAAAATATTTAGTTACGGGGCTAGAACACTCAGATATGAGATTGTGCAATATTCATTTTCTGATTGGGGTTCAATTGATCACCAAAACTTGATACAAACATGCAACGAAATAAAACCCTTCAAATTTTTAATCAGAAATTCCTTCCTCCTACCATTTTTAAACTGATAAATCAATTGTTTAGTACAATAGGAACTATCATAAGCTATATTATATAAAGTGCAATGTCTATATAAACTTGGAAACATACAAGGATTATTGTCGGTATCTTCGGTTTTCAACACATTAATATAAGGTTCTTCACATCTCTTTCCAGTAAAGCCTTTCTTGCACCTTATGATAGACAGAAAGCCAAAAAATGATTGACAAGTAGACGCAAGCCATGTTTGATTTCTCAATCATGGATGTTTTGCTTTAAAAACATATATGTATAAACATATACACCAACATGCAAGTTATGGAAATACGTGCAGTATTTTTAAACTAACAAAAGTGATAAAAACAAAATAAAAAGCACGAAATGTGTGAACATCAATCAGCAAATGAAGAAAACTGAATGCATATCATACCAGACAGCCAAGTCAGAGATGACTATTCTTAAGTAAAGCATTGATTTTATTATTACATTTGATTTTCGGCAAAATATTAGTGAATCCAGGCAATAATCGTACAATGTTAAGTATGGACCAACTATATATCTTGCCAAAGTGTGATTAGCTGTGATACATACCAAACTGAGCATAATTCAGTGAAAAATTTTTGAACCCTGAAACATTGCTATCACTTACCTGCAAGCGGTTTCATTTACAACTGGAACAATACAACAACGTCCATTAACACAAAACCCATCCCCTCTCGGACCACACTCCTCACAATCATCTGTAAAAATAGGACAGAAGTATTTTTAGAGAACCGTTTCAAAGTCAAATCAAGAATTATTTCAAGCTCAATTAGTAACGTGCAACAACACAACCTTGTACAAAATCAAGATTAGTAATACAGGCGGTATCAGCGCAGAAAATAATTTCAAGGCAAGTGCATTATATTACAAATTCAATTTGACAAAAAATATTTTGTGAGTAAAACTCATCACAACTTCACGAATGATTTCCTCTGACAAGATTGTGAAATAAATTTAAAACCCATATACTGAGTATTTATATTTTTCACGGTACTCCCGAAGTATGTGAGCCAAGATGGCAGACGCCGGAACGTAATATGTGTACTAGGTTAGAGTTAGGACATGATTTTATTCCAATTTTCCTTATTTTAGTTCTATTACGCGTTCGTGGACCAGCCAAGTGACTCCCGTAGTATTTGTACCTAAAATTATGGCCTAACTCTAACCAGGTACAAACCTAACTCTAACTAGGTACGTTCTGGTGTCCGCCATCTCGGTTCACATACTTTGGGAGTATTTTTTTCACTATAAATTGTAGTGTAAACTCTTGGGACTCATTCCAAATTTTTCAATCGTAAATAAAAACAAGTAAAATTAACATATGTCATTGTAAAATAAATATAACAAACATGCCATTCTTCATTATCAGTTGAAAATGGATGAGAAGTGCAAAAGTTCATGCATGACAGTTGTCCAATATTTCACACAATTAACATTGATGTGATGACTTTGAAATCAAATAGAAAAATATGAAAATTGTTAGTAACACCATAGATTGATTACCCTCATCAGGGGCTGCATCACCTTTCAGTACAGTAAGCTTGTAAGAGACTTCCGCACTTCCTAAAAAATTTTCCGTCCCGCATGTATATGTTCCGGAATGATGCATTTTCAACTTACTAATTATTAATCTGCCACCACCGCCCCTGGTTATGAGAAAAATTGAAAGTTTATGACAGATGCCAGAAAATGGAAGCTTAAATTATTTTCAAGATAAAACTGCCAATACTTTTTACTAATTTTTATCTTCACTCCTTTTTCTTTTTTTATAGCTTTTCCATCTTTAAGGATTTCTGCCATTGGCTTCGGGTTGCCTTTGATCTTACACTTGAAAGTGAATTTTGTATTCTCCTTCAAACTTTTTTCTTTGTTTTTCTCTTTTATTTGTGGAGCTTTAACTATAGATGAAGAATTAGATGTCAACGATTTAACGTTGAGATGTAGAGAAAAACAGACTCATCATACACTGATAAATTAATAATATAAACTTTTTTTTTTCATAAAATTAATTTAAAATCTTTTTTTTCAAAATTCCAAAACCAGTTTAAAAAAATACTCCTCATCAAAACAGATAAATTTCACCTTTTATGTTTATTATACTTGCAAAAAACCTTTTAAAAAAAAATCAATGCACTAACTTTTATATTATATAGGGTGAACGTAGTATATGCCAAAGTATACTTTGACCAGGGACAAACAAGCTTATATAATGTCATCATTAAAATACATCAGGTACCAATCTGATTAGGTATGGCATAGGTATGTTCAAAGTCATTTGGTAATTGTTTTATATGCGTGTTTATATTGATATGGATGGAATAACTATACCCACAAAAATGTTACATCTACCGCAAGTTAATCACTGTGGCCATATGAAAATGTCGTTACTCAAACAAGACTGACGCTCAGGTTGCTATGGTGCATGGCTTATTATAATCTGCCTACGCAAAATTTAGCGATGATGTCAAAACAGTAAAATAGAACATTGTACCACGCAATATTTGAAAACAATACGCTTGAGGCGGGGTGCGTTACGTACATACAGACAATATAGTCCAACCCATAAAATAACAGACATATTCCATTTCGAGCGTGAGGTCGCGAAGAACGGCATGACGTCGGCGTAAAAATGAGATAAGAAGCTTTGTAGAATGTACGATCTTTTGTATAGAAACCATAGAATGTGTATTTAGCAAGAGTATGGGTACTTTTCCTCTGATGACAATATCAAGAAATGACATACCGATCATACCTTCAATAGCTAATAGAAATGCGCCAAAAGTATTTTTGTAGAATGTACTATGTAATCGTACAAACTCGATACATACATAAATAATAAAAACCGACATCAACTCTATCTGTGGCCAACGCTATATGATACATGGGGCTTTAACATAAATTTGCCGGTTGTGATACTACGAGTAAAACTTCAATTATTTTTTTATTGTAATAGTATCCCGATGTCTTTTGTAGTTTCTTTTGTTTCGCAAATACCAAAACGGTGACGTGAAGATAGAAGACGGATACTCAAGTCGTTCCAGCACACGAACGATAAATGATAATGATGACGATAGCGATGATCAAAGCACTTGTTCGGCCCTCAAGGAGCGGGGTAAATGATAAAAGTAAACTCTCATAAGACAGATGATAAAAAACGCTTCTCAAATTATTAAAATGATATCACACGTGAGCATACGTCTGATGTAGTTTACATTAGTAAAGGTTTGTGTATACAGGTACGTTTGTTGAACAGCTCCACCAAAGGAATTTCATATCCGCTGACAGGCGCGTGGGCGGCAAAATGCCACAAAGGGCCGGGCGGCGGTTGTTACCTAGTGAAAAACCAACGCCTTCACGTGATGTTCAATTCAGTTACGCAACGGCGTCGTCAGCGCCGATTCACCAAAAACAGGAATGTCACGGGTTGTTATCCCCACTCGAGGTCCCCGAAGCGACAATGGAACAAAATATTTGGAATGGTTAACAATGTTATTATGGAAACCTCACATTGCCATGTGAAAAGGCATTTCGACAACATGTAATAGACATTCTGCTAAATACCATTGTTGTTGTTGTACCAGTTGTGTATCGTATCCAGGAGTAACCGAAAAATGTTACGACTCCTTCAGATTAAAAATAAGAATGTTACTTATATATAATAAGAGCAAATTGACAACAATGTTCAGCTTTCAGTATTCCTTGAAATGCGAAACGGATTGTCAATCTCGCACTATAAATACATGTGCACATAAATACATTGGCAAGAGAGATAAAAATAAATCGTCTCTGTAAGTTATAAACAGCCAGAAACCATAACACGGTTTCACGCTGCGGAACCGACCGATCGGATTATAGCGACAAACCCGAATAACACAATTTATTTAAAAAAAATAGGTCAATAAAATATTTTACTGTTCCGATGTGAATGAGAAGATGACACTTTTACGAACTTTACTCCCATCTGCCAGTTTTATAATCCATTTTACCACCAAAAATTAGGTTTTGTTTAACATGAAAAACAGTTAAATGAATAATATTTAATGCCAAGTTCGACATAAAAGACATATGCTGAGCAGTGGGTAATCCAGCGAGAATAAACTGATGTAACGATATACATAATGTATTTCCTATAATACTTGTTAACCGGCCACGCATCAAGGGGGAAATAGAGGTGTGTCATCCTTTTACGGTGACAAGGTGTGCCTTTCCTTGTTTAATGTTTAAAAACATATTAATTTTGACATACGAGGGTGCGACTCATCATGGGACAACGAGGATATTGCTAAGTTAAAATCGAAGCCGCCAATGTCAACGCCTAGTAACCAAAAACGAGACGAACTTCCTAAAAATATTGCAGCTTACAAACAGCCCAATATTTGGAGGTTTATGATTATGAACGCTACTCAAATATAGTTCGATGTTAACATATCGTCATAAGCGTCTCCGATCCCACGCACGAAAACCTCGACAGGCCGAATCATAGGTTTCCAACACTTCACTGAATAAATTTAATAATCGTTTTTGCGGTTGTTGAGGAAATTGATATTCCTGCAATTTGTAATGACTGCCTCATACAGGAAACTGTTGAGCCAATGAAACGCGATCGAATTTCGTCATTGATGACTTGAAAACTCAACTGCGAACGGATGACCTCAATTTGCTAAAAATACCCGTGTGATTAAGCCGTCGAGTATGGCGAGTCTAGGAAATTGCGTCACCACTAAGGCAAGAAGTGCGGGCCTGACTGCGATATCTTTACGGAACTTTTCCAAGTATAGTACATAGAAGGAGTTGAATTCCCATTATTAAGAGCACTTAACTGACAACAATAGCATCGCTATGATACTGCTACAAGTGTTTTTTTACACAATTTGGCATAATTTGCTGTCCCATTATTCTCTTAAATTGGGGAAGCCCGCTAATTTATGAATCATTGTTTTTGGAGTATCATAGAATCAGTTGCCAACACCTTGGCAGAGATACTATGGAGGAAACATTTATCACTAATGGACACATCTAAACACTTTTATGGTCTGGATTGGGGTTTCCTATATTTTATGTGAAAAATAAACATTAGGAACAAATAGTTTTATTCACACATATAGAATTTATCGGTCTTCAGTTAATAATAACAGACATTCCTCTAACAGACAATGACAAATAAATTCCAAGGAGACATTGTTTGATGTTTGATTCATAACAGTTTTCTTAGTAAAACAAACAAAAACAAGAAACTGATCTTAGGGGGAACTGCTTTTATCACTTATCTTATAGAAAAAAACATCAAAATATGAATAAGATGTATTAGGGACATCTCTCTGATTGACTGAGTTCTAAAAGCAACATGGAAATCCTTTTTACCTGATTGAATTTTTACGATATTGCACCTATTAAGTTACTGCTGTCATTTTAAAAATATTAACCTGGCGAGGTAGGGAAAAATTGAATATCATTCTAAAATAAGGCCCTTATATTCTGTTTTTAGAAATATCCTAATTATATAGGTTTAATGTCACATCCTTTCAACCCTACCTCGTACAATAAAATGACAAGACCCACCAAGAATAACTCAAATAGAAATCTTGAATATGGAAAATATAATACGATATTTCGCTTATAGATGATCAGCATGCAGCTGCCTAAATAATATATTACTCTAACACCAGAAAACTAATTGTTTACAATAGTATTTTGTTGATCGTAAAATTCCTGCGGTGGTATTTGCTGAAGAAAGGTAAATAAAGAGTAGGCGCCGTTGAAATGTCACAACCATAGTATATCGCGTAGATATACTGAATTTTCATGACATAACTTTTTCTGACTGACAAATGTAAAAAATAAATAGCATAGTATTTTGGCTGTTGCCTAAAACTAGTTGATGTAAAAATAATTAGACAGAGGAAAGCCTATTTGAAATTTAACAAAATGCAGCAGCATCAGCATCACCAAGCATCAGACATCACAGCATGATGCACATTAACACACCAAAGTCAGGCAAAGACATTCTGAAGTATCACAAAAAATAAATAAAAATTGACTCACAGCATCCTTTGCACAATATTTTTTTCTTCAATTTCTTGGCTACGTTCATTTTTGTATGAGGATTATACTTGATTCTATATTAAGAAAAAATAACAATACATTTGGAATAGGGCATAAAATACTCTATTCAATCAGGGTAACACCAAACCACTTTATTCAACATAGCTTCAACACTTGTGCAATAAAATTCTGTTTCCAACTTTATTTTCATGATATAGGTATGTAATACTGAATATAAGTCTCTTTAGTCAAATTGTGAATAAAATTCATGAACTATTTTTTTTTTCATGCCTGATGAACAGATTATTTAGAGGAAAAATAAAATTGTACTAGAAATTCCTGGGCTAAAAATGAAGTATGACTATATTAATGATATAAAGAGCTAGTATTATTTACAGTAGAAATGCCAATTCTCTCCACTGTAATTGTACACTTATCGGATAATTCAATGATATCCAATAGGTAGTAAGAGGTACTGATTCTTGGTAAAATCAATCATAAGATACCTGTAAAATTTTGGGTCGGCTGTACTTGGTTCTTCCAAAAATAAAATAAGATTGGAGTTTTTCTTGATACGTGGGCATTCTTTCCCTTTCTTTACTGGACCAAATGTTATTACATCAGTCTTCTTCAGTCCACCATTTTTGGTTGCATATACTTCAGTTATGACCGCTGTATGATTCACTTTACCAGGGGCTGTGACTTTAACTTTGACAACAACTGATGACCTAAAACAAAACAAAACACTCAATTAGAAACATCAGTCTTTGAAACTTCTGCATTCGGCATTTTCTGCAGAGAGCTGATATTCAGCTTGGTGCAACTCCTATATTTCGTCAACTTTCAGGTTTGTGATCTTACTATACTTTATAAATTGAGAGTTTTTTATAATAATTAATGTTCATATTGTATTTCCTTAATTAAATATTTAAGTATTTAAAATAGGCTACATGTAGATTCATGTGAAATTGACTTAATACAATTCGGCTGAACATGGTGAGTAATTAATGTGTATCTCAAGCATATAAAATATCAGTATGCAACTCTCATAACGTTCAATTTGCAATAATGTAACTTATGAGCAAACGTTTGAACATAGATGACATTATTTTATATAAATCCCAGGAGACATATTCCATTCATATGTCAACTTTAATTATCATTGACATATCATATTGCATATTGGCATTGGTGTTTCAGAATGCAGACAACACTAAGTGTTAATAATCGAAAACAATCAAACGATATATGGATGGAAGAAAAAGAAACCTTCCTTCATGCAGGATCTAAACCTACCAAAATTTTGCTAGTAAGTTTTAAAACATCTACCCTCTGAACAATTATATACTTATTAAACCGCACTGGTGGTTAATATCTGGATATTTCAACTATATTCTATACAAAAACATAACATGTAACCTCTTTGGTAGTTAATAAAAAATCAATATACCAAATAGGACATTTTACATAAAAAGATTATAAAATATTAAAATAAGCAGACTCTTTGCAGTGGCATTATCATGTAATTCCACGAAATTTTAATTCCAAAATCTGAATTTGATTAAGTCAGAAATTACATTCACTAATTACAGAATTAGAAATTCTTTTGTCCCATTATATAGTTGAATCTGGTAAAAATGGTCGTGATTATCGCAACGGAATACTATTTTTAGCATCTATTAACTCAAAATCCACAAAAATTAGTCATATTGTGTGTCAAATCAGAAATAGTAATATAATCAAACCATAAATGTTAACTATTTCTGTATTTACCGATATGCTTGTTCTTCAATGTTCATTCCTTTCGGAGGTGGAATACAATTTTGTGAGTTGACATAGTTTAATGAAATAATGAGACTCAATACAATCACAATACATTGTTCGAGCAGTGCCATTCCGAGAAACCTCTCAGTTACTAACTTCCAATAGCTTCCGCCACTTGTTTTTTCTCTGGTTCCAACAATTTTATGCTTTTTCAGTTGGAATAGAAATCCGAAGTTGGGGTTTGAAATTATTTTCTTGAATAATGTACGGTAAATAAGTTTCGTTGTGATATTGAAAAGAATTAAAATTAAACTTAAATTGTAAATGATCAGTTTTTCAGTTTACACAATTTAATTAATATTTCTGAAAAATGAAACTATTAGTTCACTTTAATAGTATAGTATAATAATAGTATAAGTATATTTTGATTTTTATGACTTGACTTAATCTAAGAACAGTAATAAAATACGACTAACTAGAAACTTTATATAATCTACAGATCTATGAAGTAAAGCATGATCAACATCCTAAAATAATGCTGAACTAGACTATATCATACCCACATTTTCCCTCACCCCTGCACTCATACAGTACGGTACATCTGTACATTGAACTGTGAAATACTGAAATAAACTACTACTAAAGTCAGAGAGTATTAACTCTATAACTATCAGACTACACTTCTTCCAGCCTTCTGTCTATTTATATGTTTGATTTTCTAATGTTATTTCCTTGGGCAATATTCCAATGTGCCGGTATCATATGAATTTATTCTATTGAACGATACTCACCTACTGACCTATTGTAAACATTAGAAATTATTTGTTATCATGATTAGTAAACATTTGTTGCATTTATGCTATAACATTGTATCATTTGTATGACTATTTTCCTGAAGGCACATCAAACACGACCACCCCAAGAAACCCCTTCGCAACCACCTGCCTATAAGCGAGAAATCGAATGTTGAAAGCCATGTTAAGCAGCCCAGGCGGAAAGATACGAATTTCTCGCGACGCAACGATGCTTTCGCCTATTCGAGTGGGTCAACACAGGCAGCGAGATCTAATTTCAGCGATGTTATAGTATTTTTTCTACTACAGTCCAATTCGGCACTTCAACGCTGTAGCCTACGTCATTACAAAAACCTTCCCTACTTACAGACTTACACACATTTACTAGAACTAGCCAACCGCCGGTCGGGCTCGAAAAGCACAATACACAATTTCAGGCCGGGGAAGGGTCTCTTTTTTATTAGTATATTATTTCTACCGATTGCGCAATATAGACTATACACACAACAGCTAAAATCCATTTTTTTCGCCCCAGGGTTTCAAGTCGAAATTATAACAGCGAGATTTCAAAATATATAGTTCTACGATAAACTTAAAAAAAATTCAGCCCGATATATTTTGAATATGCTGACATTTTGTTTTCAAAATATTAACATTATTAACAAAATATTATTAAAATTCTACACGTTTTATTTTTGTACGAAACGAATGAATTTCAATACTACTACTGTCACTCAAGCCAAATTTATCCCGATTCATTATCATTGAATCTCACCTGGACTTCGTCTTCATCTTTTTTTATATACCATTACTTATTTATAGTCTGTTGATATATAATATATATTTGTTCTACAAACTATTGTCTAATAGAACATCTTGCTTCCTCATCACTGTCAACGAAACTTGGCACCATAACGCTGACCGGTCGCGTACGTAATGTGCCAATATTGTCGTTGCGTCACTTTTTATTTGGACGTTGCGTAAACTGACGACGTACTATGACGGTATCGAGTGCTATTGAGAGAAGCTGTCGATAAAAATGGATCAGAAAATAGCCAAAGGGGTTTTCTAGATACGAAGGTGTCAATTAAAGATCCATATTTTCATTCTTTGAATAAGCATGAATGAATTAGAGAAGCGTTTTCTGCGATTCAGTCATGACCAGTGATTGGGTATGTAATTTATTTATGATTGAAATAATACAACGTGAATTTCGATGTATTTTTCTAATCACTACAGTAAAAACTAGAGATAGACCACGCTAAGTTTTACTTGACTTGCAATATCAGAGATGAATAAAGAACTTGAAGTATGTAATCAATGTACCGTATATCTTTTTTCCATCATTTGATACATCTTCCAGATTATCTTTCTTACTATTTGTTGGCACGAATTCATCGCGTTAAACGGTAAACAGATGGCATCTAAACATAATTTTCAGTACCAGTCTCTCGGCGACGAAGATCATGTTCTCACGAATGAGCTCCATGTTTTACACGAGTACATTGATATTATGACTTAAATAAATAAAATCATACATCAGTATCAACTTATAATTAGTGTATTGAATTTCATGGAATTACACATGCCCTTATAGTTTTAATGACATTACGTAATGCTTCACGCACTCATAACTATTATGTTAATAATAATGAGCTTCTCATTCGATGTAATTGAACAAGAATGCAGGAGGGGTGAGTCCTGTTTGATATAAGTATTGGTTGAACGTAAAATAGAAGTAAAAATAGATACAACATAAAAGCATCGTCAACTTGACTTGAGTCAGTTACGTTTGAGACGGGCGTGGACAAGGCTTATCGCGACGTGATTAAATTTTAAGACACCTGGATGAGAAACATAAATTGGCATTTCAAACACAAACTACGCAGTATGAGCAATGTCCCCCTGTCATACCTGGCGTGAGAGCGCGGTCCGCTGAAAAGTCACATATGACTAGATCTGCCTTATTCACATTTCGACGTCTGGCTGATAAATGGCATGACGGAAATCGAAGAGATTTGAATTTTTTATCAATTCACCTAACTGACTTGAAATAATTCGATCGACGACCGCTGTCGACCACACAAACGAATGTGCTACGTCATACTATTTAAGGAGAAATTCACCCCATGAAACGTTCAATCGCGTACAAGAGGTAATAAAAAACAAGAAGGACCTGTCTTGTATGTTGCCTCGGAAATCAGAACCAATAGTGTCAAAATGCGCTGGCGAAGGAATTTCGCTACGATTTCCCGATTGCCGCCCAAAGCAATAGCTGGTATGTATTGTGGTAACACACATCCTCGTCGCAAATCGCCTTCATTCAAGTCAAGACATATTTCTTATAATATAATATCCAAGTGCACACGGGGGCGGGTTGCGAGGGATAGATGCATCATCGGTCATGATTGGCCAAATAAAATTTTCAGCTCCTATTCTGCATAAGAGCTGAATGCAGAATCTTCTCATGCTACCCGAAAGAGTAATGACCCACGGCAGATTTTGGCGGATTCTCCTAACGCCATCCCCATGTGTAACAGTGACAAGAGAAACATTCTCCCATGAACCACTCCTAAGGCCTACATTATTGAAAGGAAAATCCCTCAGCAATCCAGTTTATAAACTGCCTTTAGCAGAATAGAGATTTTTTTCTCCCAACGGACGCTTTTTTGTACACACAGAACATTTCTCCCAACAAATTCATGCTCTTCAGTGAGGGTCAACGACACAAACGAATACACTGCACAGCCCACGTTTTAAGTTCTAATTTACATTTTTCAATCTCCATCTATACACAATTCTAAATAGTAGATTTCAATCAATCTTATTTCCTGAACGTATAATGAGCATGAATGAAACCGGAAAAAAATTATTGTGACCCACTTTTCTGAAGAAAATATTGACGACGCTATGGTCCGTTGGTCCCCGATGGTGGTTAGCATTGGTAAAGGCAGGACCAGATTTAGACTAAGCTATGACATTCATGAGGCCTCTCTTCATCAAGGACGTTTGGGAACTCAAGACTGTAATTATACGACTTTTCACTAGGAAACCCGACGGTATAATACCAACATCTAGTCGCGAGTGGTGGGATGGGGGCGGGGGTGGAGGGAGCTTGATGAATAGCTTCTTCGATTCGTTTTGCATTTCGTGTTTTCAAGAAGTACGATGGTTGAGTATAAGAATTAATCTTTTTATAACTTCTAATCTGCCTTAAATTAATTTATCACTTAGTAAAATGTATATAATATGTTTAAATAATATGATAACCTTAGTTTTGCAACTCTTCAGAAAGTCAAATTTTCACCTTAGTAGAATCTTTGACTACATGTACAGCAACTACCGAGTATACATTCGTAGTTCATTTGAGTCATTTTGTTCAATCACAGCACGCATGGAAATTAGGGGTACAAGAACCATCTATAAACTGTTCAAAGTGTAGGCTACCTATTAACATTGAGTTTGGAAAACCCTGGCTGAGATAAATTAATATATAGCTATATATCGTGATTTCTTATATTTTTCAAAAAAATATAGGCATTATTATGGTGAAAAGTGTTCTAATAATTATGACTTTTGCATTGCTTCAGCAAAACCAATTTTTCAAACATATTTGTATTGTTTTATGAAAAAATGATCATACATATGACTATGTTTCATGAAATTCAGAAGAGGTTTGCCATCAAGCTGAATCTTTGCGACACTTTAAGCGTTCGTCACCGTTGTACCCATATACTGATTCACAGGAACAATTTTAGGTATTGGTTTCGCCATGAGAAATTTATTTGTCAAATTTAGGAAAACTACGAACAATTAATTACTTCAGTTACGTAGACTTTTGATCTACAATTTACGTCAAGGTATAGCAATATGTAAGTATTTGAACTTTTTGTTGACATGCAAAAATACCACTCGGCTTCCAAGTTTCTTTTGCAATTGTAAGCCACAAAAAATGTTTGAATTTGTGGAACGTGATTTAGAGTTTGAGAAAAACATCGGTAACACATAAGCAGAATGTTTTTAATGAGTTACTATATAAAACGATTAACTGCTATAATCAAAGCCAGACCAACCTCTATAGTCGGCAACCTTTTGTCGCTCGCGGGCCAAAATAAAAGATTGCAAGTCTTGGCTGGCCGCACATATTTTTAGAAAGTTAAAAAACCAAACAGATGGCCGAATGAATCACAAGTTTTTCACACAGACCAGAAATGGAAATTTTTACTTCGTTCGTTTACTTATAGAAAACATTTACAAATGCCATTTAATGTGGCACTTTTAATGCATCCACGCATGGATACGTTTTTTGAGACCACTAAATGGAAATATTTTCTAAACGGAACACTGGATGAAGCCAAGATTTAAAACATTTTATATAAATCCGTGGGAATCACTTCATCCATGTTCTCTGCTTGTTTTTTGTAATGTTCATTTTCGAAAATAATTGATGCATACATATGTACTTACAAACATCAATGTTAATTTTTTCGCATGTTTTGTCAAATTTGGATAGAGATATCCTTCAAGAAGTTACTTTTTATAAAAATCAAGTAGTGATTCCCATCTAGGATAAAATATAGATTTATTCCTCATTGCATTGCACCTCATAAAATTCAATTTGAATATTTTCTGCGCCATTGAACCCTTTGCATTTAGAATCAACTTTTCTGCGTTTTGTTGCCATTTGTCTAATTATAATTAAATTATAGGCTCAATAAATGAGTAATTGTTAATTATATACCTGTTAAGTTAAAATATAATTTAGTCTACACGTATATCACAATAAATTCTGTTAGGTAAAAAATATAATATTTTCACTTCGTTGGTTGCCGTAGATTGCCGACCCCTGCTCTATAGGCAGGGGAGCAGGACATGATTTACCAACAGGCAAGGCAGATTAAAGCCGAAGGCCTTAATTTCCATAGGACTTCAATGTTGTTGTTTTTAAATCAGTTTGATTATTCTTGTTCCAAATATTTTCGTTTGAAGGGTTGAAAAAATTAAAAATGAATAATAGTTCGAAAATGGATGTTGAGGGCCCTAGGTTCAGCTAACCTTGCCTAATAGAAAATCCGGCTATGCTAAAAGCCAATCTTCCTTTTTTGGTATGGAGGCCGTAAGTCTTTAAGAATTTTCTTATTTGAAACCTTTCATTTTCTGACAGCCATAATCACCGGTCTTTTAAATAGACTTTCATCCCAAATCAGCGGCACTCGAGTATACATTGTTGAAGAAGTGGGCGGGGCCTGATGTTGTTGTGCTTCGCCTTATAACTATACCTAAAAGACATTAAATGTTTGGCTGGGAATTTCGTAATCAGAAGAGTACAACTAACGCGGCTGACCACAAAGCGGACCGGACCTATCGCTCACCTCCAAGTTTACACACAATCACGTATTTAAAAGAGGATTTGTGCTCGAAAGCTGTGAGAAACAGCCAATTTTAGTGCAGTATATACGTCGCTTACCCCCGGTGTACTTGATGCTTATAATATATATACGCGACGAGAGTGATATAAGAGTGTGGGCAGGTGATAAAGTAGTCTAACCACGTAGCAAAGCATGGCGCTATATATATATGGATATACATGGCAATATTGAGCCAGTAAATTGATACGTTATTCTCCGGTCTATCAGAATGCCAAATATATAAATTTTCTTTAAACTCAAGTTTTATAGATATTCCACAAATGCGCGTGGAGAGAAAGGTCGAAAATAAGACATGTAATTGTGCTACCACTCTTACCAGTCAAGGTCATATAATAATATAGAAAGAAGGAATCGGTTTAGTTTTTCATCGTTAGACATGTATACGTACGTATTAACGCCAAAGTGACAATTGAATTACATATCTAATTTGCATTATTTCTCGGCATTTATTTGTTTTCCTCGACACACATAAATGCTTTCATCACTTACTTACACTGTTGTTTCGAAAAATACCTTTATATAATTTGGAGTGCAGCATGTATTTATCTTTGCACTGTTTACAGATTCCATATGTTAACTATACGAAGTATCGTGATTCGTATACACTCACACGACTGTTTCGAATAATACTATTACTCATAACGAGAATATCGGTCGGAGACCGAAGACTTATCGATCGAAACTGCGGTTTCGATTCATGACTCTATAGTGACACCGCGTGTTCCATCACTAATTAATCAATAACTCGCTATTATACGCAATTTTACGACATAGTTCATCCAAAATCAATAGGCTTCTGGTCCGAGGTATGATGAATGAATGCACATGCAAAATTTGGAGCTCATTCAACCTCGCCTTCGTAAGATATCGCGTTCATCTAACAAACAAACAGACAAATACCTATCAACATACTTACCGATCTTAAGATCGATCAGTAATAATACTACATACCAAGTGCAGCACGAATTTTTCTTACTATTTTCGGCAATGTTCACAGAATACAGAGATTGCGGATCGTTATTAGGCCCGTTTTATGTATCAACACAGTGTCATCAGCTCACACATAACTATAGGGATGACGGAATGGACTCCAATGCATTGAAATCGATTCCAAGGGTTAAAACTTGGATTGCAAACAAGGTAAAACGTTTTGAGACAAGCCCTTTGCATATATGTATAAACTGCAATGTAGAGCTGCTACGCCGCAAACGTCCCGTGCCACATTGGGACCAGTTCGTATATTTTTCTGTCACTTATTGCGTTCATAACTTGAAGCAAGATGCATTGATAAACATGAAAAACTTCTTGCAACAAAGAACTCTTTAATATAAAGAATGAAGCATGTAATGAAAATCTGATCAATGATGGTGTGGACAGCTCTGAAAATGGTGATGGCGACATTGATGAATTGCCTGGGAGATAGAGGCTTAAGCTGAGACATCAAAATATTTGAACGACAGTAAAATTAGCATACCAGCGACCCAAGAAAAAATTTTGCAAGGGTGGCAACGAAACAAGAAAACTCATCCAAACATCGCAGATGTCGTTCAAAAGTACCTCTTTGTCTCAAAAACAGCCGCTGCATCAGAAAAAGCATTAGCTAAGCGGGGCTTACAGTTTCCAATTTCGATGAGACTCACAGGAAGGCATGTGAACGAATCGAACTTTTTACATTGCAATATTTTTTTGCTATGATAGTAATTATTTATTTCCTTTTTTTTGATAAGCTATGTCAAGGAATCGAGATTCGGATAAGAATCGATTGATTGTGCGTAGTCATTCTTAGCATTCTTACTTATAACCGAGAGATGCAAATCTGTGTTTATTTCGATTTACGAATAAGGCTGAGCATTTCGAATCATATATGAAGTCAGTTCTCCTAAACTGTCATGGTACATGTCCCACAATTGATTACGGGTATCAGCTAACCAACTGTATTTTTGTACGGACTTTTAACTGGCGTCTTGACTCATGACTGAATAAAATGGGACGGTTAATTTCACTCATGTAGCTATTATTCGACTCTTTTGTCGCTAGAATATTTCATTTTTCAAAATACTGATAATTTTCATTTATATGACAGAAATTCACAAAATTTATAAAATTGAAGAAAAAAGAAGATGTTAGACAGTGTTCAGTTAGCAAAAAAGGACAATATTCAATAAATTATACAGAATCTTCCTCCAGAGTAGTCGTCCATGCAACCAACTGTTCAGCCTCTTTTTCCCACATTTCCGAAGTTTTCCCTCCGTCAGCAACATCTGTCCTCGAACTTACTGGGGCAGTACTACCAGGCACTCCTTGACTAGTTTCGTTCATGTATAGTTTTTTCATTGCAGAAATTCTCTCCATTTTCTTCTGCCGCAACTTATTAACTTTCAGTTCGGTGTCGACAGTAACTGATTTACTTACAACAGAAGGTGAAACACTGCCTCCTGGCTGATATGATGGACTTAGTCTTGGAGACCGATTATTCGAATTCTTGAAGTAAACAACTCTTTCGGCACGAGAATACGGCTGAATAAGAGATATTATTGCACTCGACTGACTCGAGGCAATTTCAACCCAATTCCTGTGATACTCATCAAAAGACACTTGTTTAGGCCGTTTTGAACAACTGTCTGTGCTTGAAACTCTTTTACTTTGCAACAGAAATTGTATATTACTTTGCTTTTGTGTTGTATTGTTGCTTTCCAAATCTTGTCCTTTGAGAATATCTATTAATTTTTTGCTTTCTATCACACAGTTTTTTACAAGCTGTATATATATATGTGGTGCTGTTTTTAACAAATCAGCGGCCTCTGCATTCACAGCGTTGTCAAGAACAGGATTGGACAATAATGTTTGCAAATTAATAAGCAAGTTACTGATTGATAGGCCACTTGATCCATTTTTCAAATAGTCAGAAAAAAGTTCTATACAAGGCTGACCTGTTACTGGATCAATATTTGGATGAAATGGAATAGTATTGAATTTGATTTCAGGAGGGTCATCATCATAATTTTCATTAAAGAGTATAGTTATGTGAAAACAACCATTTTCCCAGATGGTGTTATTGAGACCTGATATTGTTGCATACCAGCAAAATACATTACTTTCTGAGGGTGTCACCTCAATTCCCCAATCTGGATTCTTTCCGATTCTTTTGTATTCACGCTCTAATAATAAATAAGCTCTACAATGCATATTATTTGACTTACAATATATCTTAAAAATAAATTAAATACTGTTAAGGTATGAATGAACAAATTAGGCCAATTACAAAACTGATTCGAATCAACCAAATTGTAGAAATTTTGAATCTTCTGTACAGCGCCCCACCACGAAATATGAGATTTGAGAAAAACATCCCCGCCCAGTTAATTAGTGATTATGCAGTTGGGAATGATTTTAATTTACAGAGCAATCTGCATTCCTAACCTTAACTGGTGGGGTGTTATTTTGTCAAGGGCTTTGTACAAAAGATTCAAAAATTTATTAAGACTTATTGAGTTCACATTGAAAGATGTCATATCAATATTATATTATAATAATATTATAATGGGAGAATGAGTGCACATGGCATACAAAATTTTGAGGTAATCACAAAAATATGACAATTTCTGGACTCCAAATCAACTTCACAAAGATAATTTGAAAAATGATGTGAAATCATAACAAAACTTAACCCCTGCATTACTGATAATGATAAGTTTCAAAGCACATTGCTGACAAGCACATGATATTGACAAATGATTGGACTCAAATTAATTTGGGAATTCCAAGACAATTCAACATATTTTTTGCACACTCTAAAAATAGAAATAAATTGATAACAGAATTTAACAATTTTTCAGTTCAGCACTCAGATCACTTTCAAATTGGTACAATAGGTACCCTCGACTCTATTAGGAATAATGTTCGGATAGCTCCATATTTAAAAGAAAGACATCACTGGCACAGAGGTTAACATCCATGTAACTGTAAGATGTATTCAACATATTGTTTTGAATCACGAATTATTCTTTTAATATTTTCCATCAGTCAATCTGGCTCTTGCGATCCAAAAAATATTGTTAAAAGTACTTTTGTTGTTATTATCATCTGAGGCAAAAATATTACTTCCGAGATGTAAATTTGGTGAAAATTACTACCAGTAGATAAATATTTTTTAAATTTGCATTCACTCAAATTCCACAAATGCAATTTAATACTTGCACATGCCAATGTGGTTCATAATTGAAGTATATATATGTATATACTTACTCCAGTATATATACTGGTACAACTGTTTAGCATAATTGGAACGCAAAAATAGTCTCATCTTAATTAATGCATGGTAGTGCTGCTATTTTTCACACCATTTTGTCACTACCCAGGATAGGCTGAGGTAGGTATGTAAAATTACAATTGAGAGATTATGATAAGCTACTAAGGCAGTAAGAGGATAATTATGCTTCTTATTGTTGCGAGGGGAATGGCTGAGTTGCTTTAATAACAGAATGACTGTATAAATATATCAGTATATGGATTTTACCTCTTTAAGCTCATTAATGTAGAATTTTGAACTGATTAGCTAATTCTGTAATTCAGTATTCAACTTGGAATGGCAGACTGCCTATTTAGAACATCATCATATCTATCTAAATACTATGATCTCTTCATCATAGGTGCAGGCTTTGCCAAAATCCTGGAAATCAAATAATTTACTATTACTGTGCTATAAATCCATTCTAAAAATATTTTTGAATATGGAATACTGATTATATACTGAGTCACAGTCAACAGAGAAGTTTCAATGAGTTTAGAAATGCATGAGAAAGATATAAGATAAAATTTAACTTACCCGTATACAAATCAATTTTGGTTTTAATCCGTGCACAGATACCGGTCACTATTTCATAGTTGTCGGAAATTGAGTATAAGCACAAAAACCTATTCCCACCTTGTTTCAGTATTATAAAACTACCGTCCTGATACGGTAGGTGGTGGAAATATGGTATCACTGGTAAGGTACACTACTTCAGTTGGACAGTTCACTAATGTCAAATAGCTGAAGCCAGAATAGCGGTAACGTTAACTTGTCGATTTCGGTGTGCGGAGATCATGTTGGTTTTTAGTTTTACCGGCAAAAGTTCTGTTCGTGCAAAAATTATCGAAGCCCATAAAAAAAACGGAATAGAACCCGAAATTAAAATATACCGGTAACTTTTCTGTTGAATATGGTCGGCCATATTGATACCAACAAAGAACTATTCCATTCAATCGGGACTCAACCATCACTGCTACTACGCAACAGCGTCCTTTCATGTTCATTCTACCATGAAGTATTCACGCAAACCCTTTAAAATTAAATGAACTTCGACCCGAACACGCAAAATTTTTGGACCAGAAAGTTAATCAATATCTGCAAAAGGGAACGCTGCAAACTAACACAAATGATTTCCTAAGACAAGCTAACTTTCTGTAGTACATAAGACTTTTGATGGGATCGATTCTGGCATATTTGTCCGAGTTATCCAATCAATCAATTTCATTTTGATTGCTCTGGCATAAAACAAAACAACAACAAGCGGACAAACAAAATGCAGAGATACCGGTACCTGGACGACAAGCATAATTTATAGCTTAGGACAAAGTTAAAAACTTACCAGTTACGCGCCCGTCCACCAAAAATAGTTAGAGCACACAATATGAATAAAATAAACACACACGATACAAAATCGGGGAATGACTTTTCGAATCAATTTAGGATCTGAAAACATTGATCAGAAGAAGAACAGGGCAGCACTTTGTACAAATTAGAATTCACAAATTTTTTTGTGGGCGCGATTGTCATATGGTCAAATACTTTTCAATGGAGATATATATAAATTTGATGCATCCATATAAAGATTGATGCATTGCCAAAACACATTTACGACAAATGCAATTCAAGATTGTGAGGTTCATGAAAACTGGATATAGCACGCAAGTGATTAGCTTCTAGCAACGCCACACAAAACGATAGCGCAAAATTGATATAAATTTGTGTCACAATTCACACATTTAAAAAGACCAATAAGCAGATCAGATACCTGAACATTCGTCGTTGTATCCGAACTACTGCAATATCATGAACATAAGCAATTGTAAACGGAGGCTAAAAACGATAGGCTCGAAAGTTCGGATGCTAAATAGGCTACACGCTACATGAAATTTTCGGTCTCAATGGTATTGATTTATCCCGATAAAAAACTTTTCGGGCTTTGTGATAGCTCCTAGGCTGCCTCATGGCGGTATTTTTAAATTTGTGGAATGTTTCCTACCGCGTTTCCCCGAAAATAAGACCTACCCTAAAAATAAGACATAGCATGAATTTTAAAAATGACTTTAATATAAGCCCTCCCTCTAAAATAAGACCTAGTCGATGGCGCAAATATTTTTTTTTGACCTAGTCGATAACAAGAAATCTTTCCTACTCGTTTTGTAGGATTAGTAATCTATGTTTAGCAGTTACTTTATATAAAAACGTGTTATTTATAAGTAAATGGATATCGGTTTTCATATTTTGTATATTTGAAAATCTCGTAATTCTCTAAATTGACATATAAGACATCCTCCGAAAATGAGCCCTAGTGTTATTTTTCGAAAGAAAATTAAAATAAGACACTGTCTTATTTTCGGGGCAACACGGTAGTACCCCAATGGTCAATCGTTAGATCAATCTATACTGTGGTACCTCATACTATTAAATGTAAATTCAGAGCTCCAACGTCTATCTCTCCAGAGTAGTTGGAAATAAGCAAGAAGGTGTTAAAAATCAGAAATAAACACTCGACACAACCTTCTAAAACTGTACACATCCAACAGACTAGGGATAGGCTATTGGACTGAAGTGAAGATTGGATCGTTTTGCTTAACCGTTGTTGTTATTAGTTTTGTTATGTGCAACTTTTTTGGTGCAAAAAATGCAACTAATGGTACAATCGATTACAAATATCCAGTACTTCATATTGTTGTTGTTAAAGGAAATGCATTTGAAAAACAAACCGGATATGCATTCTCATCACTTTCGTCCTACATGGTTTGATATATATATATATATATATGCTAGTTTACATAGTTAAACATAAAGCTATTTATACTCTCTTCAAATCAGATTTATGATATAGCTATTAGATAACGAGAATATTTCCATATATATGATTATTTAGGCTTTTTTATTATCCGGATATCAGAGAGCAAAATACCCTCCGGGTAAGCGGTTCTAATAGGAGCCACACTCACTGTATTTTCCATGCTATAATAAGACTTTCGATATCAATCCCACCATACTATTCATGCCCATATAACGTTTTCCTATTTTACTCTTTCCCATTTCGAATTCCACAAGAATTACAGTCGTCGCCATGCTGGATTGCGTAGCTTGTTGTTATAATCTTCCCAGCTCAAAATGGAATCTGCAGTCGACCTACATTCGCGTATTTGTAAATATATTTTGGATCACATATGATTCCTCAGACAAACATTTAATAAACAGGATTGTTATCTTCACTCGTGCTACACCGAGTTTTGAGCAGAATATTTATTTAACCAACCCTTCCAATTAAGACAAGAAAACCCCTAGTCGGCTAACTATTGAGGTGTATAACCGTAAATATATACTACTACGAGAGCGCAAGTGGAGTGGAAGAAAAAGTTTTATGCCAAGGTGAAGAAAGAACTTTTGTCGCAGTTATTCTCACTTGTACCTTCGGCGATTTTAAGCCAATTCTGGATGGACCCAGAGAGAGAAATTTTATTTCCACGAAATAATGTTAAAAAAGGACAATAGTACAGATTTTTATGAAAATACAATGCAATGGATGTTTAAACATTGAATTGTGATGGTCAGTATGCAAGACCTTTACAGGTCACCGAGGCTCCCGACCATTTTATTCACGCCGTGATCAAACTGTCAGCATGGGTTATCACACTATGAAATTATAAAATAAAAACAGAAATATGGAAAAAAAAATGATTCTTTTGTATCTCATAAGTGTGATTTGAGAGACATCTCCTAACTGTGAAAGGACCTTGCCATGTCTCCCCTTCAAACTTCTATGGTTGCACATGAACATCAAAGTTTCTTTTCTGTCGCAAGGCAGCTTGATACAGACGATTTCTGGCACATACAAAAGATTCCTCAGTGACAGCTTTAAACCATTCCACATATTCGGTATAACAAGGATGTAGAGGTGTTTGAGTCGGACTTCCATACATGACATCGATAGGGAGGTCAATCTCTCTTCTGAGGATCCACTTGTCCATCGGATCGAGGTTGATGAGGTGTTGTATGCGTCTTGACTATACCGTACAAGTCGCACATCTCGGTGAACAAGCGGGATTCAAATCTCGACCCTGATCAGTGTGAAGAATCCGAGGAACTCCAAATCTTGCGAAGAGCTGGGTGACCAGCACATCGGCTGTTACCTCTGCAGTCTGATTGGGAAGTGGATAACACTCCACCCACTTGGTGAAATAATCAAACAGCACCAGAATATGTTCATTTCCATTCTTGGTACGTGGTAGTGGTCCCAAGAAATCCATGGCGACCCGTTCCATAGGAGATCCGCAGAGCAGTTGTCGTAGATCCCCCTGTTTGCGCCCGTGGGTCATCTCAGCCGCAGCGCAAGGTTTGCAAAACCGGCACCAGAGCAAAATATCTCTTTTAAAACCGGGCCAATAGAAACGAGCACGAACACTCTTGAATGTTCTTATAGAGCCTAAATGTCCGGAGGTACGGGCACTGTGAAAGATTTCTCTTCTCAATACCCCGGGAATGCAAAATTGATTAAACGGGAGCACTAGTCAATGTTTCAGGTATTCACTTGCGATACAAAACTTCACCTGTCAAATATAACAAATGCCATTGAGCTAGATAACGCTTGGTCTCTAGAAATTCATGCATATAATCCTGTGGCTGGGGTTTATGATGTGAACGGAGCTTCCAGGCAACAACTGCAGAAAGATGAGGGTCCTCTGCTTGGCAAGTTCGAATCCTTTCCTCCGTGTATGTGTCCATCCAGTTACAGCTTGTTTGTATTCCAGGCAAGTCAGCATTATACAGAGTTGCTACTACATGAACATTGATATCAGGTTCCTGTGAAGTAGACACACGATCTGGGCAATCCGGGCGCTTACAGCGTCTGGTTTGACGAGATAGCCCATCGGCATTACCATGTTTAGTCCCTGCTCGATGTTCAATGCTGAAATCATATGTGAACAGTGTAGAAATCCAGCGAGCCACCTTCCCTTCAGGTTTTCGTAAATTTAAAAGCCACCATGATCAATGCAAATCAAAAAGTGCCTTAACCACAAATAGTGGCGAAAATGGCGTACTGATTGAATCACTGCCAACAACTCCCTTTCAGTGGTACAGTATCGTCCTTCCGTCTTGGATAGAGTTTTGCTGAAATAAGCATTAACATGTTCGTCCCCTTCTTGCAATTGTGATAACACAGCACCAGTACCACAGTCACTTGCGTTGGTGTCCAAAATAAACTCTCTCTGAACCAATGGAAAATCCAGAATAGAAGCAGATGTCAAAAGACGCTTAATAATTTCAAATGTTTCCTGACAGTCACTAGTCCACTCAAATTTCACATTCGTTCAAGTCAAGCGGACTAAAGGCGATGCTATCGTGGCATAACCTGGCATAAAACGTCTATAATAGTTGGCAGTTCCCAAGAAACTTCTAACATCTGATACCCCCTGAGGTGTTTTCCATTCGACTATAGCTGCTACATTGTGAGGATCACAGCGAACCCCTTCAGAAGAAATTTCGCACTTCAGGTAGGTAACTGATCCACGAAACAGCTGGCATTTAGTCGGCTTGAGTTTCAAACCAGCACTCTGAAGTCGAATAAAAACCTCCCGCAAACTGCTCAATGAAGCGCCAAAATCGGACCCGTGGGCTAAAACATCATCCAAATAATTGGAACATCCTTTCCCGATAATTCCACCCAACACTCGATCCATCATCCGCTCGAAGGTTGCAGGTGCATTGGATAGACTAAATCAGGGGTTCTCAAACTTTTGGTGTCGCGGAGCCCTTGAAATTGTTGACTATTATTCACGGAGCCCCAAAATAAATGTTAAAATTGTTACTTTCTGATTAATATTCCTGAGCAAGTTAAAAGTACTTTACTCAATTTAAATGCTGAACCTTTTTTGATAGGGTTAATACAAGTTATAAATAAATCTAAATTTCAAACATAAATTATATATACTAAAGCTGTAAATTTGACACTTGACAAACATACTAATAAACTAGGGGTCGAATCTTCTCCCTTTTGACATTTTTGGAAGACCCAAAATGCCGCCAATAATGTGCGCGATTGCATTTTGTTACAATCGCCGATTTTTTTCCTCAGCATGGCGGCGTGTTTTTGAACCTACATCTTTACG